GTCTTACATGGCATCAACTAAAGTATTTGATCACTGAAATCACGCTGGATATACCCAGCTAAACCTCTTCAAGAAGAAGGCGAATGTTCGGAACTGGCCGTGCAATCATGACCGGCGACCACTTTGGCGTTGGGATGAGTGGATCAACTGCCAATCGGTAGTGCATCAAGACCATTGCCAGTGAGGTCTTCAGCTCATCCATGGCCATAGACTGGCCAATGCAGTTCCTGGGTCCAGCAGAGAAAGGCACATACGAGTACGGATGGCGTCCTTGGCTCTGGTCCGGGGAGAAACGCTCCGGATCGAACTTCAATGGCTCAGGCCAGTGCTCCTCGCACATGTGTATGTCGAGAAGCGACAGATCGGCTGTCGCACCGCATGGGATGAACATGTTGTTGATCGTGACGTCTTCCTGCGTTTCACGTCCGATAAACGGCACAGGCGTGCTAATGCGCATGCTTTCCTTGAGACACTGTGTCAGATACGTTAGCTTACCCAGGTGCTCATGAGAAATGCAGGCAGTCACACATGTACCACTGCTCACATCTTTGCCATCCAACACCACCGCCTTTACTTCAGATCGACACTTCTCTTGAAACTCAGGGTGTTGCGCCAGGTGGTATAGAGCCCATTGTAACGCACTGGCGGTGGTGTCATGTCCGCGGAACAGGAACGTGTCCACTTGTTCACGGACCTCCTCGTCGGTCAACCCATTACCGTCCTCGTCCTCGACTGTGAGCAACACATCAAGGAAGTCGCGACACTCTGCTGCAGACTTTCCACCGCTCTCTTGAAGAGCAGCTTTCCTTTCTTGAATGAGGTGCTGACTCATCTCCTTCGAAACTTTCAACTCTTGAGTCAACTTTCTGCCTTCGCTGGTGAGCGAGAATAAGAAATCTGAATGGTGCAAGAGGTTGCTTTGCCGCTGAAGTATTGCATTAGCAATGTACACAACAGCCTTTGCATACCTGCTGGCTAGCGTATTGCCACCACTGGACTTGCCGTCTTCCATCTGACAGTCCGACTCAAAGCCCATGGCACACCGCAGAATCACATCCAGTGTTAGCATGGTACATGACACAGTCACGTCCACGCTCTCTCCTCTCGCACACGATTCGGACCATTTCTGCAGCATGATGCCGCACGCATCCGTATACACCTCTACGTAGTCTCGCAGTATGTCAAAGTGGAAGCAGTGAGTGAGCAGTCGCCGATCTCTGGCCCACTTCTGCCCATTGCTTACCAATAGGCCTTCTCCAAGCCAAGGCTTCAGAAATCCGTAAAAGTAACTATCCTTGGGGAATGATGAACTGCGAAATACAACAGCAGCAGTGTCCGGGTGAACAAGGTTCACAACACTGGCGATAAAGCCAATGTTGTACTTGTAGATATAAGGCAGTCTGTGCCTCCATTCCGTTCTGAGTTCCCTAACCTGCTGTCGGTCCACAAACATTGAAAGATGACCCGATATGAGATGACCCTGCGTTGGCTCAGGAATCCGTCGCAAATAGTAGGCGAGTCGCAGCCATCTCCTTCCCTTTAGCAACAGCACGGTAACTAGCGCCAAGGTACAATATAGCAACACCACGCTGACTGCCATTGCGAATCCTGAGCTGCAGCTGTACTTGCTCACTGTGTTATAATTATTTACATCTCTAAAAGATTGTTAGAGTTTTGAGACTTACATGTGTACTTATCAAAGATGATCACTGGAAAGCGCAGAAGGCGCTTGTGATTTTAGTTTTGTGTCTGAGCCACAGTAAAGAATGAATCGTTTCGCTCACTGGACGACGTGCCGTCGCAAGGACCAGTCCACACGCAACTCCTCGCTCTTCAAATCTGAACCTTTCTTTGAAGTAACTAACTACAGTTTTCCCCCTTTTTCAACACCCTAGGCTAGGGTATACCTGTGCCGCTGTGGTACATATTATGGTATGGTCCCCCTATACCATGTACTAGTATATGCCCCCTGGCTATGGATAGTATGGTGTTGAAAAAGGGAGAAAGCCTGCCCAAAGGGGAAAGAAAATCTGAAGAAAAAGTACTCGAGGCCATCTACCATGTCTACCGTGTATCTGTACTCATCCTTCTTGACAGCCTATCACCTATAAGCGCATACTAGCCTCGAGCCGAGGCCGAGGGGCCTCAGCAGCGCAGCTTCATGTCATGCATGAGCTCAACTCAGCCCAGTCATGAAAAAAAGTTCGAAGATGACAGGAAAGATTCAGTCTGAGATTAAATTAAAAATTATTTTGAATTCGACTGAAGAGCGCGCTAGCGAGGAGTTGCGTGTCGATCTTACGACGGCACGTCTTCCAGTGCAGAGGGCCTAGGGGAGCGATTTCATTTTTATTTCCTGGCTCAGACACATCACACAAGCTCTTCGCTCCGCTTTGCAGCGAACCGCGGCACTGATCCCCTTCGTATCAAAATACTTCAGAATAACTAGTACTGTATTACAATTTAGAATAGCAATGTGACACAGTCAGCGATCTAGACTAAAGCACAGCTGCACCTACATGATTGTATTCGTAATGGCAGTCAGCGTGGTGTTACTATATTGTACCTTGGCGCTAGTTACCGTGCTGTTGCTAAAGGGAAGGAGATGGCTGCGACTCGCCTACTATTTGCGACGGATTCCTGAGCCAACGCAGGGTCATCTCATATCGGGACATCTTTCGATGTTTGTGGACCGACAGCAGGTTAGGGAACGCAGAGCAGAATGGCAGCGCAGACTGTCTTATATCTACAAGTACAACATTGGCCTTATCGCCAGTGTTGTGAACCTTGTTCACCCGGACACTGCTGCTGTTGTATTTCGCGGTTCATCATTCCCCAAGGATAGATACTTTTACGGCTTTCTGAAGCCCTGGCTTGGAGAAGGCCTATTGGTAAGCAATGGGCAGAAGTGGGCCAGAGATCGGCGACTGCTCACTCACTGCTTCCACTTTGACATACTGCGAGACTACGTAGAGGTGTATACGGATGCGTGCGGCATCATGCTGCAGAAATGGTCCGAATCGTGTGCAAGAGGAGAGAGCGTGGACGTGACTGTGTCATGTACCATGCTAACACTGGATGTGATTCTGCGGTGTGCCATGGGCTTTGAGTCGGACTGTCAGATGGAAGACGGCAAGTCCAGTAGTGGCAATACGCTAGCCAGCAGGTATGCAAAGGCTGTTGTGTACATTGCTAATGCAATACTTCAGCGGCAAAATAACATCTTGCACCATTCAGATTTCTTGTTCTCGCTCACCAGCGAAGGCAGAAAGTTGGCTAAAGAGTTGAAAGTGTCCAAGGAGATGAGTCAGCACCTCATTCAAGAAAGGAAAGCTGCTCTTCAAGAGAGCGGCGGAAAATCTGCTGCAGAATGCCGTGACTTCCTTGATGTATTGCTTACTGTCAAGGACGAGGACGATAATGGGCTTACAGACGAGGAGGTCCGTGAACAAGTGGACACGTTCCTGTTCCGCGGACATGACACCACCGCCAGTGCGTTACAATGGGCTCTATACCACCTGGCACAACACCCTGAGTTTCAAGAGAAGTGTCGATCTGAAGTAAAGGCGGTGGTGTTGGATGGCAAAGATGTGAGCAGTGGTACATGTGTGACTGGCAGCATTTCTCATGAGCACCTGGGTAAGCTAAAGTATCTGACACAGTGTGTCAAGGAAAGCATGCGCATTAGCACGCCTGTGCCGTTTATCGGACGTGAAACGCAGGAAGACGTCACGATCAACAACACATTCATCCCATGCGGTGCAACAATCGAGCTGCCGCTTCTCGACATGCACATGTGCGAGGAGCACTGGCCTGAGCCATTGAAGTTCGATCCGGAGCGTTTCTCCCCGGACCAGAGCCAAGGACGCCATCCGTACTCGTATGTACCTTTCTCTGCTGGACCCAGGAACTGCATTGGCCAGTCTATGGCCATGGATGAGCTGAAGACCTCACTGGCAATGGTCTTGATGCACTACCGATTGGCAGTTGATCCACTCATCCCAACGCCAAAGTGGTCGCCAGCAATGATTGCACGGCCAGTTCCGAACATTCACCTTCTAGTTGAAGAGGTGTAGTTGCATGAATCAACCGTGATTTCAGTGATGGAGTACTTTAAATGCTGCAAGCCAAGCCATGTCGTCTAGCGCTACTGAAAAGTTGCCGCAGATTCCATGTGTTTGTAGATTTTTAAACGGAACACTATGATGTGGCATATTATAATCCTCTTTTGTTGCAATGCTGTGAACCGTTGCATCTTACAAGAAAACTAAGTTTTCTATTTGTTCATTTGCTCAGCTTTACAACCCTTTCTCGACAAATATTTCGTAAGAGATTATTTCGTTTTTGCATTATTTATTGTTCAGGTAGTTATGCAAGGTTCCTACGGTGATTTCTTTACAATCGAATTAGGAGAACGTTCTATTTACCAAATTAGAATTACGATATATTTACCCCCCTCCCCCAAGCCCTGCACCTGCATGCTAGCCACATCAAGAAAATTTCCTTAGCGATCAGTTTTGAAGAAGAGGTTTGTAGCAACTTTGGTGATAAAAAAAAAAATTCGATTGTTTTTTGGAATACTTTTAATTGGAATTGGAGAACTTCAAATTCAATGTCAGCAGTCTCATGACAAGCAAGGTCTCACTGAGGTTCGAGTCCTGGTGAGGTTGGTATTTATTTCACTTTTCAGGCAGTTTCGCTTCCCTTGCTGTTTTGGATTGCATTCATATTTCCCCCACAAAGAATATTCTCCTGGCTACAGGCCATAGTCACATGAATACACGTACTTTGTAGTACTTTGAAGTACAGTCAACTTCGCTAATAACGACTGCGGATATAACGAAAATTCGCGAACAACGACAGAATTTCAATGCCCAGAAGAAAGTCCCATCCCACTGTACATGTAATACATATAATGAGACTTCGGGTATAACGACACTTCGCAAATGAGGACACCTTTTGATGCCCCGCCGAGTGTCGTTATAAGTGAAATTGACTGTATGCACTTGTTGTGACTTCAGAAGATCATGCTCTCAAGCCAAGGGCTCTCGGTTTCCTCAAGCCAAGGGCTCTCGGTTTCCTGGCTATGCTCTCATACTCGTCGTGAAGATTGCTATGGTATCTGCACGTTGGTATAGGATGCCGAAGCCGTTGCACTGGCAGCCTGGGCGCTCGTCCCTCCCTTACGCCCCAACATTACGCTACATGGAGGGGGTCTGGGGATATTATACATGTATGAACAAATAATCGTGTTGAAAAAATTTCGAAATACAAAATCCACAACATGTGCCCTTTTTAAAGTACATGTACATGTAGACCTACACAGGTACATGTAGACCTACACAGGTACATGTACAGACGTACACAGGTACATGTAGACCTACACAGGTACATGTAGACCTTAGTCACCTACACAGGTACATGTAGCTACAGACAGTCAGCATAATCCTTGCTTAGGGGCCGTCCGTAATTATCGAACGTTTTCACCAAACGAATTATTTTAGTTTAGACCCAACCCCTCCCTCCCTCCCCCTCAGAACGTAAAAAAAGTTTGACATATCCATGCATAATAGTTAATACAACAAAAGTTGCAAGTGTCCCACCCCATAACGAAATTATTTCGTTTTGTGAAAAAAGTTCGATAATTATGATGTTTTTCGATTTTGACAGCATTTTACAAGGCGAGGACGCATAGTGCTCCATGACTACAACCATAACCCGGTTGGCAGAGTCCCGGTCTTGCGACCGTTTGAACCGTGTTGGGAAAACCCAGGTTCGGACCCTCTTTTCTCTAGGGGTTGGTAGGATGTAGAATTTTTTTGTTGTGTTGAAGATGTCACTTTCTTCGTGTTGCCGCCGCAGTTGTTGTTCACGTTGTCGTGTTGCTGCCGCTGTAGGGTCCACGTCTGGAAATGATTTTGTGATTGTAATGTTATTTTCTTGTCTTTGTCTGTAATTATTTGTCATTAAATTTTATCTTTCTTTCTTCTTTTGTTCTTTTCTTTTTTGTGTCTTCTGTTGGGGGTTTTCTTCTTGTCTTTTTCTTCCAACTTCTGCCCATGGCGTCCTTCTCTCAGCTCGTCAGCTGTAACAGTCATAGTCATCACCATGATAACTGTTGTGAGAAGGTTATCGTTTTCGTGTAAACAGCAAAAACGTTTCGAAAACGATTGAAAAACGTTTTTTCAATCGTTGTCGTGTATTGTAAATGAGGCTAGATTCTGGTTCTTGCTCTGTCGGCTCGCTCGTTATCGGTAATAATTTCTAGCTCTTGGTTTTTATCTTCATGCATTGTAGTTTTGCCCGTGCAAGATTATAAGAGGCGGTACTAGTGAGGTTTTGCATTCCGAAATTCGGCAAAAAGATTCGGCACGCGGGAGCGAGGTCGAAAATGCACACGAAGATTCGGCATGTTTGTTCGGAAAAAGCTCACTTTGCCGAAAATATTTTTCGGATGAATTTTCTTGTAGAAGAGCGCTAGCGCTAGCGCGTGATTTATTCAAAAAGGTTTCTTATCTCGGCATCGCTTCGCAGGCGTCTTGGGCGACATCAGCATCGCCAGCTACCTCTGATTGCTCCTCTCCACTGCCTGTCTACTCTCTATCGCCTGGAGTGTCCACACCGTCATCTGTGTGGCTGAAAAGGCTATGGCGATACGCATAAAATTTGACTTGGCCATGGAGTTGGTTCTGAGGCGACTGAGGAGGCAGGTTTGGCCCTCGACTCTTTGGGCGATCAAAGTTCGTTGGAATCAGCAAGAAAGGGAGCACGGGACAGGACGTTGCTGATGCTGGGGCTCACGAAATGAAAACACATCATTTTCGACTTGCAAAACAAACGTTGGTGCGAAAATTCGACATTTTGATGTTCGACAAATGACCGAAGGTTGCCGAACCGAAATTCGGAATGCAAAACCTCACTACTAAAGAAAAAGAAGAAGAAAAAATTATGGACCCTTGAAAAAAGGAGCGGAAATTGGACTCGTTCCACAGGCAGCAGCTGCGAACAGTGATAGGCATTAAATACCCGCTCATAATAAAGAACACTTCCCTGTATAAACGCACAGAATCTCGCCCCGTGAGCCAAATCATCAGAGATGCTAGATGGAGGCTGTTTGGTCATGTGCTGCGTTTGGAAGAGGCAGCCCCAGCCAGACGTGCCATGGGAGCTTACTTCTTAGGGGGTAACGGCCCCAGCTTTAGGGGACGCCCAAGAACAACGCTCCCGCGAACGCTCAATAATGATCTCAAAAAGCTGAAAAATAATACCGCCCTAGAGACTGGCGATGACTTGAACATGCTGCAGCAGCTTGCCCAAGACCGTCGACAGTGGCGGGAACTGGTGAAGGCTGTATGTAGCTGCTAATGAAACAATGGACATAATTTATACCTTTATTTAAATAGATAACGGAGATGACTGCAACAGGCTGCAGCAGCTCGCCCAGGATCGCCCTCAGTGGCAGGACCTGGTGAAGGTTGTATGTAGCCGCTAATGCAACAATGGACATAACTTTGCGTTTCCATCTTGTCTTTTTTGTGATTGTGATGCTTGATGTGCACTGTGCTTCCTCGCATTCACTTGCTCCTTCTTGCAGCTTGTCTCTTTTTGTTTTTTGTTTTGTTTTGACGCTCTGTGTGCATTGCGCTTCCTCGCGCTCACTTGCTCCTTCTTGCGGCTTAAGCGAAGGCTATATGTGAGCTTTATAAGCTCACTGATGCTAACGCGAATAGAGCATAATAATAATAATAATGAAAAAAGGGTTGCGATGGTGATCCGCGCACGCCGCGACGCGTAGATCTACGCACGCGTCAGTTTTGCATTGATTTTCGAAAAATGTTCAAGAAGAACCACTCGAAGCATGCTTGGCTTCGTTCGTCGTTTTGGAGTTTTACTTTTAGCTTTGTAGACGAGGGCTTTGCCTTTGGAGGTATGGTAGGTCTACATGGTTGTGACATATGTACAATCATGCACACTTCAGTGTGCATGTAAAATAGTGACTAAGCTACAGACTGTCAGTACACGTCACATCTACACGTACGTAGAGTCTACAATAATAATAATTATTATACTGTGCTTTTTTCTTGATTTATTTGCTACAATTGTAGTAGTGGTTTCATCATCTTCATGTCTTCCCTCGTGTATGTTCAGTCCAGCACGCTAAACTACACTACAGTGCTGGCTGAGCCGTGAGCCAGCAATGATGGACGCGCTGGCGACAGTAGTCCGCATAGCGTGGTACCTTGCGCACGGTGTACCGCTGCTTCTCCTGTTCTTTGCTGCCAAGTTTTTGCCTTTGTGGCGACGATCAGCTACAATCCGAAAGCGTCTTCAAGCAGCTGGTGTTCCTCAACCCGTGCCTGGACACTGGTTTTGGGGCCATATAGAGAACTTTACCAACAGGCTATCCGTCCGACAGCGGCGCAAAGCCTGGCTTACACTATGTCCTCGTCTGCAGTACACCAGCTTGTCGTTTCTTTTCCCAACCACGTCTCTAACGAATGCTGAAACAGCGTCCGTGTTGCTACGGTCATCTGAACCAAAGTTCGAGTATTTGTACTCGTTTCTAAAGCCGTGGTTGGATGATGGCCTCCTGCTGAGCAATGGGCAGAAGTGGGCCAGAGATCGGCGACTGCTAACTCACTGCTTCCACTTTGACATACTGCGAGACTACATAGAGGTGTATACGGATGCGTGCGGCATCATGCTGCAGAAATGGTCCGAATCGTGTGCAAGAGGAGAGAGCGTGGACGTGACTGCTTCGTGTACCATGCTAACACTGGATGTGATTCTGCGGTGCGCAATGGGCTTTGAGTCCGACTGTCAGATCGAGGAGAAGGCGGACAGGAGATCCGCGCAGTATGTTGCTTCCGTAAAGGCGCTGACTGTTCTTATCGAGCGGCGATTTCTGAACCTATTCCACCACAACGACTTCATATACTGGCTGACTTCGGATGGCCGTGCTACAAGTAGGCATTTATCAATCTTACACGACATGAGCCAAATGCTGATTGCGGAAAGGCGTGCTGCAATCAATGAAGACATGCCCACCAGCAGCGATACAGACGGTCACAAACACCACAAGTACCGCGACTTTCTGGACGTTCTTGTCACTGTGAAGGATGAGGATGGGAAAGGCCTGACGGATGAAGAAATCCGCGAGCAAGTGGACACGTTTCTGTTCCGTGGACACGACACAACAGCAAGTGCCCTCCAGTGGACAATCTACTACCTATCTCTTCACGAGGACATCCAGGAGAAATGTCGCCAAGAGGTGCAGAGCGTCCTGCAGAAGAGTGGCCACAGCACGGAGACAATGAATCACGCCGATTTGACCGAGATGATCTACTTGACGCAAGTCTTGAAGGAAGCGCTCCGTCTCAGCGCCCCGGTTCCTTTCATTTCGCGACAGTTGACACAGGACACAAAGGTAGATGGGTATACATTGCCGGAAGGCCTGCAGGTACAAGTGCCTATACTGGATGTGCACAGAAACCCACAGCAATGGTCCGATGCGGATACATTCGACCCAGATCGATTTTGCCCGGAGGAGATATCAAAACGACACCCGTTCGCCTACGTTCCGTTTTCGGCTGGCCCACGTAACTGCATCGGTCAGACAATGGCCATGGACGAGATGAAGACGACGCTGGCATGCACAGTGAATCGATTTCGCATTCGTCCAGATCCAGCCGCAAGGACACCGATCTGGAGGCCCCAGTTGGTTTCAAGAGCCCATTTTGGCATAAAGGTACACCTTGAAGAGATTGATGCGTAAGAGAAACGACCAGCACAGCCGGGTGTAGCGGTTTGTTCTGTGTTTGTGGCGTGCGTTCAACTGCTTCCGCAGCCTCAGCAATCAGCAGCCTGGCCGTGGGTACTACAGTCCTGCTCAATGAAATCCAGTCGCGGCACTCAAGTTTGCGCCGTGCACCGTTTCGAAGCCCAGTGTTCGCAGGTCTAGGGCTGTACAATGGCTGGCGCTTACTTACGTGACCTGGCTGACCCGGCTGACCTGGCTGGATTTCATGGATCAGCACTGTAGTTAGTAATCATGACCTCCATTTTTGTAGTGGACCATGCCAGCTCTGTTTTGATCCAGGTTATATTATTTTCATGGACTTGTTTTCCCCGCATTTTAGTGCTGGGAAAATTATATGCGATTCATTTATTGGTTTCCAAATTTACCTTTTTCGTTACTTTCCCCAAAGTGTAGTATTAAATAGTTTTCTTTTCTTAGCCATTTGACCGGCCCTCTGTGGCGAAAAACTCTGAAACAGTGTCTATGTTTTGTCAAATTATTTTGAAGAAGTTCATGCAGCGAGCAATTAATGATATCCGTCATCACATGGAGTATTAGGATAGATTGTCTTCTGTCAATTTTGAATATACCGGTAAGTGGTTCATATAGTAAGCAATGGTATGGATCACTACGATCATTATTTGAAGATGTACATAATTATAGTTTTCTGTCAATAGGATTATGTTCTATAATGACAAAACACCCATTCATCAACTTCTATTTCAAATCACATTGATTTATACATGCACTTCCCTATGTTGAACAACTGTCTGAGCCACTTCAAAGTCCACCATTGTTACTATTTTTATCAGAGTGCCATGCCTGGGGTATATTGACAAGTACCGGTATGTATTTAAATTAGCCTACAAGGTCGAAACAGCTGGCTGTTCGGAGATGGAGAACAGAAAACAGAAACAGAAAACCGGCAGACGTTGATACTTTTTCTGGTATGTTTCATGTATGTTCGGTATGTTGATGAAGAAGAGGAGAAGAATTTGAGACATTGCTCTTCATAAGCGTTGTATGGTTCCGCCAATTTCAATGCTCTTCAAGCAGAATCTGCCAACTTTCCGCATTATCCGCCAAGAACTACATGCAATACAGTGGTGAAGGAAACATGGTCTGTGGCCAGGAAAGGCTTAAGACACACGTTATCCGGACAACTTAGTATAGCGTGAAGAAGGATTCCTCGATGTGGATCATTAGCAGGCAGCTGTAAGTCTTTTCACAAATAAATCGTAACCCGGCATAATTCATAATTGAGGGAGTAATAATTTGATATATTTAATAAAGGAAATGCTCTGGGTGGTATCTGTAATGAATTCTCCAATGCAGTATCAACTGAAAATTCAACAGGATGGCAGAAAGGCACGTCTTGGTCAGAAACGGGAGTGATGTGCACGATTCAAGCAGCTCAAGACAACACCAGCCCTAATAGTAGTTAGTACTTCAAGCAAGGTAACCATGGTCACAACGCCATGACCAGCATGTCCGGCGGGGAAGTGACATACGGATACAGAGCCGGTAGTAAGACCTGAATAAATGTTGGTGACAGTTCCCCTTTAAAGTTCTCTAATAGGTGTACAAGGGCTCATATACAAACAATCATACGTGGTCAAATGCGCGACAGTAGCGATCGTGTGGATGCTACAAGACATGTCTAGAGCCGCGTCTACTCTGGCATGCGATCCTCCCTCGCGTCAGCATTAATATCCCGCAGGCAGACTTTGATGTTGGGTTCTGCCCGAGCAACTAGCTGAGAGCGCCAAATCGGCGCGGGCTGGTCCGCGTCTGGTGTGATGCGAAACCTTGCAATCACCGCAGCCAACGTTGCTTTCATTTCGTCCATCGCCATGCTTTGCCCAATGCAGTTGCGGGGACCGGCCGAGAAGGGCACGAACGCAAACGGACTTCGCTCCTTGCTTTGCTCAAGCGAGAAACGATCAGGGTCGAACTTCTGTGGCTCAGGCCACAGCTGAGGGTTGCAATGCACGTCAAAGAACGGAACTGTAAGTCTAATACCGTGTGGAAGAGTATAGCCATCGACAGACATGTCTTCAGTTAACTCCCGCGAGATGAACGGAACAGGAGAGCTAAGTCGCATACTCTCCTTCAAGACTTGCGTCAAGTAGATCATCTCGGTCAAATCGGCGTGATTCATTGTCTCCGTGCTGTGACCACTCTTCTGCAGGACGCTCTGCACCTCTTGGCGACATTTCTCCTGGATGTCCTCGTGAAGAGATAGGTAGTAGATTGTCCACTGGAGGGCACTTGCTGTTGTGTCGTGTCCACGGAACAGAAACGTGTCCACTTGCTCGCGGATTTCTTCATCCGTCAGGCCTTTATCATCCTCATCCTTCACCGTGACAAGAACGTCCAGAAAGTCGCGGTACTTGTGGTGTTTGTGACCGTCTGTATCGCTGCTGGTGGGCATGTCTTCATTGATTGCAGCACGCCTTTCCGCAATCAGCATCTGGCTCATTCCGTGTATAACCGCCAAATGCTTGCTTGCAGCCCGTCCATCCGAAGTGAAGCCATAGATGAAGTCGTTGTGATATAGCAAGTTTAAAAAACGGCGCTCCAGCAGAACGGTCATCTCCTTCACGGAAGCAGTATACTGAGCGGCCTTCGTATCCGCATTCCCTTGGATCTGACAGTCGGACTCAAAGCCCATGGCGCAACGCAGCATCACATCCAGTGTTAGCAATGTACATGAAGCAGTCACGTCAACACTCTCTCCTCTCGCACATGACTCAGACCATTTCTGCAGCATGATACCGCACGCATCCGTATACACCTCTACGTAGTCTCGCAGTATGTCAAAGTGGAAGCAGTGAGTGAGCAGTCGCCGATCTCTGGCCCACTTCTGCCCATTGCTTACCAATAGGCCTTCTCCAAGCCAGGGCTTCAGAAAGCCGTAGAAATAGTTATGCTTCGGAGCAGACGAGCGAAGTACACCCACCACAGTCTCAGCATGTATTAAGTTCACAGATTGGAACAGGAACGTGATTTTGGTGCGGTAAAGTCGCGGATTTGTTTCTATCCACTTCTGCCGTATCTTCCGTAGATTCTTTCTATCTCCAATCTGCTTCGAGTGACCCAGTAGCCAGTGGCTGGGCTCTGGCTCTGGCACCACTCTCGCCCTATATTGCAGTATCAGCCACTGCAGCAGCGTGGGCAGCGTTCTCAGCGCGAAGTAGATCAGTGACAGCGGGATAATGTGAACCAGTGACCATGCTAATCCAGCAGGCAGCTCCATGCCACCCATGATGGAGGCATTCGCAGCGGCACGGACTGAAAATGTCTGAAGTCCAGACTGCAGGCTGCAGTGGAACACCGGCCAATGTTGGCAGTTACTACAAGTAACTATCGTGCGCTGTCGTTCTCGCTCGCCAGTTTGTAACTGCGACTCACTATTTTTGTGTCAGGTTCGTTACCGGAGGATGCACCCTGTGTGCTGAAAGACTCAGTGCATGTTCACACAACATACATGTAGTACACAGAACAATGAATGAGGGCACGGTTAGTTTGCCGCTACTCTGAGTCTGAGTTTCATGCTTACGCAATCATCAGCCTTGTATTTTGTAAGTACATGCATGACATTAAAAGCCATAATAATTATTATAACGAAGTGCTAACTCTAGTCTAGTAACGAGTTAACGAGGAGCAATCTGTCGTTAAAATAGAAATCGTTATAACAGAAATCGATACATAATTATACTGTCCTATTGAGCGTTGAGAATGAGACAGAATCGTTACCTTTGGTACACGTAAACCAGTCAAATTTGGGGAAATCGTTATAATTATATGCGCCTCGTTAGAATAATGGCTTTTACAGTAGTTAGTTGATCACTAGTACTAGCACAGTACTGATGACAGTTTGTTGTCAGGCGCTATGCAACAGTTTGTCCTGCCAAGTGCCATGCCAAGCTACACAAATTGATCACCGGTATGTAGCTACAGGATGGCCATTATTCGAAACACCACTGCTTTCCTAGCTAATTTTAGATGCAATATGACTCACCCACTACGACATACATGTACCATAAAAGTCCACACAGAAATTTCCATCTAAATCTTCCACTTGTTCACCATTTCTGCTGGGCTGCTGTTAGTGTTAGTTTACAGTACAGTACAGTCAGTACCTTCATTTTTTACAAAACGAAATTCAAATGTCATCTCATTATTCCGCGTTTATGGAGAGCATCATACAATGTCATCACGCTACATGCTTTCCACGTGGCGTGATGACATTGTATGATGCTCTCCATAAACGCGGAATAAGAACAAAAGGACTATCATTTTTGAACATTTTAGAACAATGCTAGGCTGCGCCTTGAGCCCGCTGCCCCTGCGTTCTTCGGCGCCCGATCTGAATGCGAGCATGGATACTGCCCGTCCCGTTCCTGGACAGCCAGTGAGGGGGTCGGGCAAAAAACGGATGCCACGTTTTCGGATATTAGCGCCGGACTTTTATTACCGCCTGTCTGATATACGCGCCACGTCATTTCAGGGCTTTTGTGTGGATTCTTTTTAAATTGGCGAAATGTCAGGGCTCGCAAACTACGACTCGTACTGACCGCCGAGGCCAGTATTGCCGAAATTACGGTATATTATAAAAGTGTTGCAAGCCCACCTACTTTCCATGGATAGTATTGGGTACATTATTAGACTTTATCATGTACTGGTCCTCCCTCGTTATAAGGAGTCCGGTTAGTACATAAACCCCGTTAGTAAATAGAAATCTGAAATCCCCTGGCGAAACGTGGTCTACAACTGAAGAGCTTGAGAACAAAACGCTGTATGCGCCAAATCTTCAAAATCGAAATTTTTGACCTAACTGAAAGATCACATCGAGCTGAATTTGATGGCGAGGTCATTTTTGGCGAAAACGCAGTACATCCTACAGAAAACCCCATTCAAACAGTCGCTTTCAGAGCAAAACGCTGTATATCCGGCTTGGATTTTTTTTCAAAACGCAGTATACGCCAGTTGTCATAGTTATACAGTCGTGGGCAGCGCGCGTGGTGTTCAGAACGCGCAGAACACTGCTCTTTGTCATTTTTTCAAACAAGTTCGAATTATTTTTTTGAACGAGCGCTTGACTCGACTTATGGCTGTCAAATTAGCTTTCTCTTCTTCCTGACGCTGTCGAAGCTCTTGTCTTAGACATCAGCGTGGCGGAGGTGAAATTAGATGGTATGAGTGAGCCAGTTGTTTTGTCTCCTGTTGGGAGAGGGCGTCTTGTGCCTATATTCTCACCCGGATATACTGCGTTTTGCCAAAAAGAAGGTGAAAAATTCAAAAAATATCAAAATCTGAGAGGTGTGGATTTTTGATGACATGGTGTTTGGGGTCCAGTATTCCTTCTGGTACTAAATCCAAATTTCCATTGGGATGGGATGTAAGACAATGTCAGCACAGAATTTTGACTTTACCCGAAAAGTGCCAAAATGGATATACCGTGTTTTGTTCTCAAGCTCTTCAACTGTTTACAGGTCCGGTTACAACATAATTCGTTAGTACATAAAATTCGTTATAACGACCCTTTGCCCAGGTGTCTGGAGTGCCAAACCCTCAGTATAAGATAATAATTATTGATCATGCAAGACCAAGACCAAAACATAATATAGGATAAAGCAGAAACAACGTATTACATCTATGCATTCATAGACATGTATACGATCTTTTTCATCCAAGGAAGAGCTATGTTGGAGATTTTCAATTATATTATAATTATCGAGTTGAAGCGTCGCTAATTTATGTTGTATCGAGAGTAGCCCAGGTAAATGCGAATTAGTGCCTATTTCACCTTTAGATGCAAGTCCTCTTACAAGATAAGTCTCGTTACAAGATAACTATTTTGATGGCCCAGAGATTATCTCCTAACGAGGGAGGACCTGTACTTGTACTTTTGTGGACTGTTCCAATGAACAGAGCTGTGTTGGGGGTGGCCAGGTTGCGACTTCTGCCACAGACTGATGAAGACCTGTTCTTTTCCCGCAAGGAAATACTACAACAAATATGGCCGCATGCTCAATACAGCGGGGCGTGGTGCTCTGTGGGCGTCCACAGACTGAGCATTTCGCTCGCTCTCATACGCTCGAAGTAGAGAGCACTCTTGTGTGGGATAGCCTTCACCTTCCTGCAGTACGCATAGCTTGCTGACGTGTCAATCAGAGGCCCCGGCATGGCACGCTCCAGGAGCTGCATCTGCGCCTTGATACTTGAGGGCGGTGGCGTAACTGCGGATGCGGAAACTCAGTCTGACGCGAACTGGCAATCCTGGTCTTGAAAACACACCGCGGTGTTACGCCAGCACATTACGATACCGAAGCACAGAATAACACACACGTGATGGACAAGGTGTAGCCCGGGTACTATCCATTGCCGCAGCACTTGGTATGTCACCATCACGGGCGAACGACACAGCCAAGCACAGCTTCAGCAGTTCAATCACCGTAGTCTCACTAAAAATAAGCATTCATAAAGTCACCACAAGGCGTGTTGACACTATAAAGTTTGCAAAGTCAATAATTTCCTAGCAACAAAATCACCACATAAGCAAAATATACTGGTAAAAAACGAAACTACATGTACATAATTATACAGATAAGCAGCTAAATTGACAGGCGGGCAAATCGGCACAATACGAAAACGGAAAGTAACATACGCATACAATAACTATGTACAGGTTGTTTACATGTCAGTCATGTCGGGAAGCAGGCTACTTTGTTCATGCTTCCTAGTCACCAGGATGCGAGGAATGCCGCTTGAAAGCCGTGACCAACGAGGAAAAACAGAACCAGAAGGGTACGCACAAGTGTGTGTAATGAAAATAACTTTTTTTTACAGCCCGAAGCAGACGTGGCGTACGGGTGCACAGGTGGGGGGTGCAGGATCGGAGCAGGAAACGGTAGAAGAATCGGAAATTCTATTGTACAATCTAGAAAAGAGCCGTCCATACCTCAGTCGATTGGACACCAGCAATCTCAAGTATGACATCGACGACGGCCCAGACATCAAGTGAAATATCTGTGATTATCCAACCACGCTGCAGTGTGCATGTGTGAGGGCAGCAGGACGTGGCTAACATCCCACAGCGCAAAGGCGGCGAGAGCATCAAGCGGGCAAACAAAACGTCCTAGAAATTCTTCTTGATGAGTCGCTCAAGTTTGCGTATCCGACTGCCGGACTCCTCCTGACCGGGAGCTGCAGTTGCGCCGTCTGATGTTAGCCTCTGCTGCTTGAAAACATCGAGAAGTGTGTGCACCTCACCACGCTTTAGACCCTAGCAAACACAACAATACCAAACAACACAGGAATACTATTCTAATATTCCTTTCTGCCGTTCCGTTGAGAGTTTGAGCAGGGCAACCGTCGTGCTCAGTGAAATACAGCTTGATGCAAAAGACAGCACCCTGCTCCAGACAGCACCCTGCTCCAGACAGCACCCTGCTCCAGTGGAAACTGGAGGCATGGCGGCCATTGAGTTTTCCTACCAAACCACGATTTAACACAAATGAGTACGCAGGGGTACAATCTTTCTACATGTCTTTACTTGCCAGCTTCAGAGGGAAGGAGAGAGAGAGGGGGGAGGACTTGGTAGATTGATGAAATGGCGGTCCTGACAAAGCTATTTACCTTCATCTCGAGTACTTTCTGGAAGTTGGCCACGTCGGGGTCGTCCAGCAGCTTCACATAGCTCTTAACAAATTCCTCCACAAGATCGTGTGGTGACATCACAACCTGTAGACGAATAAACATGCACCAAGCTGAGATGTTCTGAAACATGTTGTGGGGCATTTGTGTGTGTAGAACTGCTGTGGGGAATGCACAGATACCAACAGCGTCGAGGAGCATCATTATTCAAGTCTAGCTCTTCGTTTGTTGTTGTGTGCAGGCAGCCGACCTGTTAACCAACAAAAGGATATGCAGCAGGGCATACATAACCTCACCTTCAAAATCAACTCAGCCTTTGCCATTCCCTTCGTGACAATCTTGATGTAGCTGGAGGAAGATGGGAATACGAGAAACGGAGTGCATGTACATCGTGGAGAACGGGAACGGTTCATTCGAGTATGCTGCTACTGTACCTCGGTGGTGCTTTTCGTGCAACCGCAGCATTCACTGTCGGAAGATTCAGGAGAGTTGTCTTGAACGAATGCGTGTCCAGTAACAGCTAGAAACGAGAAAGAAGATCAGAGAAAGAGAGAGAGAGAGAGAGAGAGAGAGAGAGAGAGTGAGAGAGAGATCATAAGACATGAATCTGTGCGACGATCAAACACTATGCCTATCAGGCTATGACTGAGCGGCAGAAAACTGCCAGAAACTAGAACCATGCTACTGAGTGTCTACGGTCACTTTCTTGGCATAATCATATCATGAATTGGATTCACGACTTCACTCCAGAGTTGCTCCACTTTAGATCAAGAGTTCAAGTTTGCTATGGTCTGAACTGTTTTAATCCACTGCCATTGATCACTGGCACATTCGTCAATGACCGAGGACCAGCTTCATTTTTCAACTCTATTTTTCTCTCTCTCTTTTTTTAAAGAAAACTGACCAGGTCCATGTACCAGTAGGATTTACGTACCTGCTCGGCACCGACCGTACCAACCGGCTTGCACTTGTAAATTGTATTGATGAATCGCGGGATTAGAGAGCTGCAGCATGACAACATGTACACAAGCCAACACATGTGTCCATGTATGTAAGTAATGTAAGGCTCGCACATTCACGTTTTAATACATATGTATACCCCCCCCCCCCCCACACACACACACCCAGTCATTTTTAGGGTCTGACAACTGAACCGAATCTACTAGTACCTCAATCACATACAAATGTCAGTCTAATAGTTCTTACTTCTGTCACGAAGAATTCAGCATGAAGATGCTACAACAACCTACATCAAGACAGGCACATGATTATAGCATACCCTATAGAACTGGTCTGACCCATTGGAGATGGTCTGGCCAATGTCCTTACCTTTGCATCCAAAACGTATTCTTTTATTCACAACAATACACACTACACTATGCCGTTTTCACTACCAAAACAGGGCTGATAGCCTGGAAAAGGGTTTGGTCAAATCCTGTTTGATCAGCTGGGCCAGCTGCTGCTATGCCCCTGCTGCAAGACATGAACTAGTCAGGTGTGCACTCACTTGGCAAGCTTCAGACAGAAGTTGTTGAAGTACTTTCTGCTGGAGGCGAGGTTCTCACGAATGATCGGGATGATCTGCTTGATGTGGCCCTGTATTGCCGTGATGTACGCACTCTGGTCACCGACAGCTTCGATGTTTTGCCAGTGCACCTGCATGGAACAACACAGTGGAGACAGGTCTTGTGCATATGTGTACTGACATGCTTGAAACAAGAGCATACAGTAGAGCCAACTTTCCCAACACTGCTAGTGCCAGCGCACCGTGACAAAACCAAACTGAACTGATTCTGTGAGTGAAGATGCTGTGTGGGTGAGATGATGACATAGGACCCGGAACATGACTATTGTATACATCCACATCGAACACTTCAGGTTTCACTTCCTTGACAGGCAGGCAGTAGGCGGCAGATCAATCAGTGTTCACCTACCTTGACCATGGCCAGAAGAGCCGGCTCACAGGCAGATTCCACACACTGTACGAGCAGTTGAATGCAAGTAGCGATAATGCTGAACACAGTCAAAGTGACAAAAGACACATCATCAGCAAGGAGGACGTACAAGTTAGCATGACTACAATCTATATAAATGCTAAACTTAAATACGGACACCAAAGACCTGTTTTGTTAACCACTATAATTATAGGGAGGTGTGCTGATAAGTGATAACAGAAGACACATTCACACTTGGCATGGTGTGTGTCGACTAGTTGGGCCTGAGCACCACTGGTGGCCTACTTGAGTCAATACAGAAGCAAAACGACCAACAAATTTCAGACTGTGGCACAGAGTGTAACAGCAAGCAGCACTACATCATAGCAGTGGGTCACTGATCAAGCTTACTTGTGAAACAAGTCCTGCTCTTCACCAAGGTTGATCTTGGGCTGGAGTGGAACTTCGATTTTCTCCTTTAGCTTCTCTTCAAGCTACAAAGGCAACAACATGGCAATGCAGAGACAAGATCAAAAGAGAACCGAAACCCCAACGCATAGTAAGGCAAAGTCAGAGACCCTGCATGCAGAGTTGCACACTCCTTGGCGCTTACATAGTCTTGATATTTACTGCAAGACTTTCATCATGCTTGCACTACGATTTCAAACCCTTGTTTACATTGGAAGTAGTTTTGATGACCGCCAAATAGCCTAAATCAAGTGACGAGATTGGACATGTGAAACTCTGTATATGCACCTACGGCCAGGGAGGTTCAAAGCTAAAAGGACAACACCAAGATTATGATCAGGTTACCTTGGTGGACAGTTAGTCATAACTCGTAACATATTGTCCTTTCTTTTATACCAATATTATCGTGTGTTGTTCATTACACGAGGCACTGGCTTCAAATAAAAATATATATACATGTAACGATCAGCAAAATGATTATCACTCAGCTCCACGATCAATTTCCTGTCGTCACAAAGCAAGGCCAAATGGCCACCGAGCACTGATATCAGCTGCAGCTAGACAGCACAATGCCCACCCAAGCTCTTGCGGAAAGGTCACCGTGTCAGTGCGATGAGTTTAGTCAAATGAGCGTGTGAGGTCATGTCTAGTCGGGCCCAAAGAATTGGCATGTTTACCCAAGTGAGGGTAGTGGTCATTTCCTTTCCTGCATCGCACTTGCCTTCCCAACCGATGTCAGAGGTGCCCGATCCCATCTCCGCTCAAACTGGGAACTGAAGCCGTTACAAAATGAAACTCACTATATGTGTTCCCCTTACCGATTGGGTTGTGTCTAGACAATACTCGGCCGTGCTTAGGAAGCAACAGGTCTGTGCCACCTCTTCCATGGACAGCTTGACACCCTCGGAGTCCTTCAGTAACGATGTCAGACCCCCGCCTCCCGTAGATGTTCTGGTGTAGGCACACGGCGAGAATCAAACACAAAAGGGCCAGCTATAAGAACATTTCAAGAGTGAAGTAGTCCCAGAGCACATCTCAGTATTGTCCGTCATCATGCACGCACCATGGTCATTCAACAAGCCATGCATGAACAAGGCAAATAAATGATAACGGTACTCCATATCCAATTCATGAATTTTGGAGAGAGACTTGGTAGTATTGCCCATTTGTACCAAAAGCCACATTTGAGGACGGTTGCCATTACTTTTACTTTTCCTCGCCGCCATTTCCTCCCCGGCAATGCCAGGTACTCATCTAGGCTGAGTGGACCTAGGAGTGGTCGAAAAATTGCAAGCCCGAACCTGACGGGATTCGAGCCCGTAACATTTCTTATATCAGACCAGTGCACTAACTACTGGGCTGAACAGCACCCATACATGTACATGAAAATGAGGAGTACAAAAGAGGATGCATCCAGTGCAGCAACAGCAGCACCACCACCAGCAGCAGCACCACCACCACCAGCAGCAGCAGCACCACCAGCAGCAGCACCACCAGCAGCAGCAGCAGCACCACCACCACCAGCAGCAGCAGGGGCAGCAACAGCAGCGGTGGCAGCAGCAGCATGTCTTACTTTGGCATGTTGGAGAGGAGGAGTCGATTTCCGTACTCCTTCAGGTACCGCTTGAAGACCTCGGAGAGATGAACAAGAGCTTCACCGGTGCTCAGCTGGGCACACTGAACCAGGCACTTCTTGTAGAAAATGAACAGGTCGGAACAGCTCGGCAGTACGGTACTGGTGGAGCCCGACGGTGCACCGGTCTCGTCGATACTGACCGTGGGACAGCCTGATGTCCGGTAGTCGTCGGCCAGCCGGTCCATGAGCTCGGCCAGGTTTCTGCAAGTGAGAAAACAACCAAAGTATCACGAGCGCTTAGTAAGTAGGGCGAGTCATAAAGCACTTCTAGAGAACATTCAAGACATCATGACTAGGGCTGAAACGATTATACCGAATAATCGAGTACTCGTTTGATAACTCTAACGATCGAGCAATCGTTTAGATTACCGATTACGATTATTTTGCGTTTTTAAAATTTTACGCACTGCACGCGCGACTCGCCTTGTTACATGCTGTCAAAATCGAAAAACAGTCCTAGTGTAGTACAACGAAGCTGGAGCATGAAGCTCGAAGGTCAAGGTCGCGTCCGGTCTGCATACATAACACTTTTTTTGTGCAAAATTTTGTACATACTTCCACTTTTGGCCATTCTACGTACATATTCCAGGTGCGGCCTCTTAAAGATTATAATCGAATAATCGATCGTTATGATAAAGAGTAATCGATTGGGCTAAATGGATGATCGTTTCAGCCCTAATCATGACCCAGGCACGTGGCCACCGCTATGGCTACACTCTCTGCACAACCGACACAGCACCAGTAACAGCTGCTGGAGAAAATGCAAAACGTTTCAGCAATTGACCATCGTCAGTGAGCTAACGCAAAGCAACACGAGTACTGCAAAAGTGAAAATAGTGGACTAGCCAGAAAAGCGACCAAGTTCCTAAAAATAAGTCCACGTGAGGTACATTGGTTGTTGTAATAGTAAAAAGTCCCGTTTCTTTTCGAAAGAAGGGGTACTTTCACACAGTCATGATGAAGATGCAAGAAGTGTCTCAAAAGCTGCATTCTCCGAATTAGGGCACTTGAAGAAATAAGTTCAAATATCTGCTACATTATGAACTGCGATGAAGCAACTTTGGCAGTAATAAAACTTAGCAGCAGTCTACATGTGAAGGAAAATAATCCCACATAGGCTTAAATACATACCTGTCCTGTGACTCAATATAAACGTTGAGGTGAGGCTCGAAGCAACGCGACACCAAGCCGAGGAATATCGACGGCTTCTTCTTGGGCTGCGCAGGCTCTTCCTGTGCCTGTGCACGCATGAGAAATAGACAATGAGTCGATCGTGACCATACACAGCCGGACTTGTGCATTACCACATGATCAGTCAGTTCAAGTGCAGGCACTTGTTGTTACCACCAGCAACTCATATCACTGAAATACTGCTGCCACAACACAGCAACTGTTTATCTGATGCAAGTTACACCATCAAATGCAAGTGTAAAAAATTATTTGGTGTTATGAGAAAAAAATAATTTGGTGTGGCCAGAGCAATACAGTGTGCCTGTGTTCGTGTGCTCTGAGGCCGTGCCAGATATGTCAGCTCCGTACACTCAACCACGCAGACATGACACACCCACACCCACACCCACACACACACACGGAGCATGGTACTTGATAATAATATTACTTATGTACAGTCGTGGCCAAAGGAAACCGACCCACGTGCCGAAAGCAGCGCCAAGACTTATGCAGCCCCTGCGGCTCTCGGACGGTATTTTAGGACTGTGTATGGTGTAATGGAAATGGAAGCAGGGCACTACTTTTGACTCATGGGTTGGATGCCTTCAGCCACGACTGTAGTTACTGCAGGTGCTTAGTAATCAACTAATCGTCTTCCTACCATACCTCGGCATCATCTGTGGCGTTCCTCTGCTGCTCCTCCTCCTGCTGGCGCAGATACCGCTCGTAGCGCTCGCGAATAGGATCGCTGCCCTGCCCAGCTGACTGTGCAGATGTAGCTCCGACGGTCTAACAGCACCAATTCATGTGTGTGCACGCGTACGTATACACACCCACACACGCGCACGCACACATGCACACACAAACACACGTGCATGCACGCATGCAGACGCGCATGCACACACACACACACACACACACACACACGTGAACACACAGCCACGCGCACACGTGTACAGGACAAAGATTGCACGCGTACAGGCACTAACATTTTCCACAATCGCGCTCGCTGAACAGTACGAATGCATGTACATGCGCGATCGATGGCATTTTACAAAAGCTAGATGACTAGGAATTTTAGTTCTCAGTTCACGGATATTATTCGGTTTTAATACGAAACATAATTGATTTACAGTAAGTAGTCCCTGCTACTCAACTTATACCAAAAGACAGCTGTAACATACCACGGGGCCAGGCGGGCCGCTGCCGTCCGTAGCAGTAGTGGCAGCAGCAGTAGTCGAAGGCGACGACGACGGACCTTTCCGCAGCGCTTCCTCTCTGCGCAGCCGCTCTTCCTCCTGCAGATGGCAACCAACAGGATTATACATGTAGTTACTGTTGAAACATCCATCCACACACACACACACACACACACATGATGATATACGTAGTACAGTGAAAAAAAACACTGTTCCACCTTCTCTTCTCGATGGAGTACCTTGCCCTTGGTTATAAAGTACAGATTTTTACGGCCCTTGGAGGCACACTATACTGAAGTTTCACTGTACGACTCATATAATCATTATTAACTTGATTAAAACCGCCCTTTTTCAACCCCTCTAATCCCCGGGGCACACACAGAAGAGAGCTGTGGTCAAAGCACAACATCTCGGCCGCTGGGGGCACAATTCTCCAGCTCTCATACACCCAATAGAAGAAGAAGTACATGGAGCTCTCTGAAAACAGGATACAGTAGCCAAATTCCCCAGTATCAGGAATAGTCACTGGTCAATGTCAAGGAAACCATCGAAAGTTGCATTGCCTGCCCCCACAAGAAATCAAAGCAGAGCCAATGTCAAGTATACCTCGGCTTCTTCTTGCTCCTGCTGTACAATGCTGACAGCGAAACGAGTAGCCATCAGCTTCTCAAATCCCGTCGTCTTTTGGATGGCGAAGAGAAGAAGCTTCACTTCGAGATTGCTACTTTTCGCCGCCATTAATTTACTCAGTTCACCCCTGCAAATAACACAGAGGTAGTAAAATAAATGATCATCAGCATCTCAACTTCAGCACGGACTTGCTGGTTAGGAATCTCTCTCTCTCTCTCTCTCTCTCTCTCTCTCTCTCTCTCTCTCTCTCTCTCTCTCTCTCTCTCTCTCTCTCTCTCTCTCTCTCTCTCTCTCTCTCTCTCTCTCTCTCTCTCTCTCTCTCTCTCTCTCTCTATCTATCTCTCTATCTCTCTCTCTCTCTCTCTCTCTCTCTCTCTCTCTCTCTCTCTCTCTCTCTCTCTCTCTCTCTTCCTCTCAACAACAAGAACATTCTATACTGCTTACTCACCTTGTCCATTCGCAGAATTCAATGGCCACGCGCTCCTGCATTCCCCAGTCCTCGGGGAACACTCTGGAGAAGTCCTCCTCAAAGTTGATCAGCGTCCTCTTCAGCCACGCGTACCGTCGGTCTATTTTGTCCAGCCATGCGATCTGCAGTGCGTAGTACATACAACCAGGCAAACAGGTGGGGGGATTTTAGAACTTCAAAGCAAGCACAGTGACTGCTAACACCAACGTGCCCACCAGAGAATACTGTGGTTAACTTGGTCATGTGAGTAACTGCATCTGGGTATGTAGAAAGTGAACATAAGCATACGGGCAGTTGAACCAACATGGCTAACATTGTGGGACCCATTGACACAGGGATTCACTGGAGTTGGAACCAACATGTCTGTCCTGTGTGGTCATGTGACAGAAGTGCAATAGCTAGAGTAACGTTACTCACGAACATTCATACAATACAACAACGTACAAAGGCGTAGAAACTTTAGAAAGTGAGCGAGGCATGCGGCCAGTTGAACCAACATGCCTGTCCCATGATACGGTCACGTGAAAGATGCGCAACAGCTCTGTACACTCATGAACATTTATTTACACAATACAACAGTGTTACGGTGCTGTAGCTCTGAACATCTACAAACACCTGCAGATTACCAAAAGAACCGTCAGAGCAGTTCTGAAACAGGCAAGACACAACAAAAGGGTACATTGCCTAAGAAAGAGCGCACTTGGAATCTACCTGTTAGCTCTCACACTGAAGATGAAAGTATCAAGAGCAGGGAGTAGTAAAATACCGGTATTTTACTACTCCCTGATCAAGACTATCGAACAATACCATGAATACGCATGAACATGACTACTACCACACTACATACACTACATACACTACACACAGTCCATACACTACATACACTACACACAGTCCATACACTACATACACTACACACAGTCCATACACTACATACACTACACACAGTCCATACACTACATACACTACACACAGTCCATACACTACATACACTACACACAGTCCATACACTACATACACTACACACAGTCCATACACTACATACACTACACACAGTCCATACACTACATACACTATACACAGTCCATACACTACATACACTACATACAGTCCATACACTACATACACTACACACAGTCCATACACTACATACACTACACACAGTCCATACACTACATACACTACACACAGTCCATACACTACATACACTACACACAGTCCATACCTCTTCCCTTTCGTTGAACTGCCGCTTGTAGTCACTTAGGTGAAGTGATACAAACCATTTCTGAAGTTCTTTCCTGTAGAATCGGAGTGAGCAAGACAACCACACTTGCATTGAGAATGATGAATACTAGCAGCAACACGGCTTGCATTCAGCAGCTCAGAACCAAATTACAGCATGTCTGTGTGTGTGCGGGTGTGTGTGTGGGCGCGTGTGTGCGTGCGCACATGCTACAGCATAAGAAAATACACCACTAGGTACCGACACGAGAATACTAGTAACCAACTGATGTCTTAACTTAGGCAAAAGTACTACAGTCAGACCTCGCATAACCGCACACATCCGTTTTCCACAAAAATATCCGGATAGGCGAGGGAACCGGATAATCGAACACACATACTGTATGTATGCATGACATATGCCGTAAATCGGTAACCAGCGATTTTCTTCCGGATAGCGAGGGATTCGGATAAGCGAGGTCTGACTGTACATGCATACCACATCATGGTTATATGAAGATGCCTCCGATGTGTTTGAACTTCAAAGTGTGCGCAAATATACTAGCACGCTTCACACACACGCACACATGAGGATACATCAGACAAGTGCACCAAATCTCACTTTAGCTTGGGTTCCAATACTTGCACTACATTACATGCATCACCAAGGTGAGGAGCCAGCTGTTACAAAACGACAACAAAAACAAAAGAACAGAACATGGGGAAAGGTTTGTGAAATGTGAGCTTCTTGCCAGTGGTCCTATTTCAAGGCAATATTGTTCTCACACACACAGCACTGCAAGCAGAAGACTGCTATGATGAGAGCAATGGCTGAGTCACAGGCAATACAGAGTACCGTATTTTCCGGAGTATAAGCCCCCCCCCCCCCCCCCCATTCTTTTGCCACGAAATACAGACATCTATCACCGTTAATTCGATCATTGGAGTATAAGCCGCAACCCCCCCCCCCCCCCCCCCAGTACGACTTCTACAAAATACGAGTATATGTAGCTACAAAAGACATATCGGGTTTTCAAGGTCCATGAAGCCAAGATTCAGCGGCAGTTGCAACAACTAGCTTAGCTTGCACCCACAGCAAGATGTACGGTACACTGGAAGGCCTAACGTAGCTGACCTTGCCGCCTTTAATGTAGGCCTCCATTGCCTCCTTGAAGTCTCCCATGATCTGCGTGCCCAGCTCATCTCGCATTCTGGCAACACTGCAATGTGAATCAAGAGTAACACACAGTCACACACATCACACAACCAGTATACAATGAGCTAACGCAGGCACCATGACCAGTACACAAAGCCAATAAGCTACTGTAGAACGGCTAATTTTAGGCGGTAACATTTTTTAGCGTTTTCTGAATAAGGACCAATTCGCGATGAAATATTTTAGCGATCCAAGTTTCAGGGTAAAATAAAAGAAATTACCTGTACATGCAAAATTTCGATTGGCGCAGAAAACGTTAGCGAAAACACTCCTTTCGCTAAAAATCGCTAAAATATCACCGGCACTAAAATTAGCCGTTTTACAGCAACACAGGCAACATGGCCAGCAATCATCAATACTCCTTCACTAGTTGAGGGAATGGAAAAGAAAAGTCTGAAGAAGAAAAATAGACTGTTACCAGCAGGACTTGAACCAGGGACCTTCACTTGAGGCCAGTGATGTTCTAACCACTGAGCTATGGTGTAGCTGTCATCTCAGCGGAGTAGGTTCAACATTTTCTTCACACTTCGAAATACACTCTTCCTATGAAACTACACAGGCTGGTGGGACGCATCATCAATACAGTCATGTACAATATTCCAGTGCGGGCAAAGTACAGTACTAGTACAACAGTCTACTCACTCGTTGGCCAGATCTCGGATCTGCGATATGCTGCGATACTTGTCAAAGTGTTCCAGCACGTTGACGACGCCTTGCATCAGATTGGCCACCTCGCTGTACTGTCTCCGCCTGATGAGATTACTGGAACACGCAAAACAAAGGGTCGGCAGCAGCAGCGACATTATTAGTGAGCGAGACACAAAGCAGAGGTCCACAGTAGAAGAAAGCAATCATGGACTTTCCGCCGCTCTCCAGTAAGCCCAATGTTGTACAAATTGTCCAAACGAGACCAGAGTTATGACTCACAGAGTACCAACATTTTTGGATGAGTAGAGCCCACATGTTGTCTGTGTGCAATACCTCTGCAAGAAACTGGTCATTCGAATCTCCCCTGGGAAGAAGGGGGAGAGATTAACGGTTGACGGTCCCTAAACTTTGAACTAGGGATGAACTTGAAAATGAAAAAGTAGCCCATTGGTAAACAGGTATGTCTACTTCGAATAGAAAGCATGTGGATCCTGAAACCAATAAAAGCAGCCGGTATCTTCAAACAGCCGAGCCCGATAGCAACAGACCGAGCCGTTACCTGGCACACGTGCACACTCATCAGCCGAACTTGCTGGGACACACATGCACGCATAGATTTGATGAATAGCACCCCCACCCCCCCACCCCCCCCCCCCCCCCCCCCCATTCTTACTGGTGCTCACCTTAGATCGTGCACACCGCCGACAAGGAAGTGCAGGTGGTTTAGAGTGGTGATCGACGACGTCAGGTTGCGCTTGGCATGATCAAGCTGCTTGATGTCACGCGTGATCTCTTTCACCTGAATAAATACAAGAAGTTGGGTGCCCCACTCAATCATGTAATAATACAACACAAAGTCTAAAAGTAAACGGCAAGCAGCTGTTTATGCACTTCTACATATTGTGAAATTTTTTAAATGGAATCTTTTCCTTCCCCTTCTGTTGCAAAGTGTGTGGTATCCACCATAAAGGCAATAGTGATGGTGAGTCTGACATCGATCTAATCGACATAGAGCAATAGCAAGCCTCTTGCCAGCTTGTCCCTGTAGCATGCCTCAATATTCTTTCTCTGTAATCAGTTCCTTCACTCGGTTTTGCGCCAGGTTGAGTCTTTTCTTTCCAGTCTCAATTCGGACCGATGGCTTGCTATCAATTCAGCAAAGTTACTTTGAACCGTAAATTCTACTTCACTTCGATTTTTCACTCATAAGACTGTAAAGATAAATCAGCGACACACTTGGCAATTAAATACGTTATGGTCAGCGACTCCACCATTCCACAATGCGCTCTTGGCCGACCCATTCCACTTGTACATGATGTAACATCACCACCACAGCGAGGAGCATTCTGTTTGATACTGATACGATCAGACCATCCAGATAAATGTTTTGCTCTGATAGCTAGCTCATCAGTGGAGGTATTTTAAAATAGACTGGCAACGCATGACTGTCAGTGGTGATCTGACCATGCCACATCACTACAAGGGATAATCTATCTCTCCATATCATCCACACACTGGCTTCCAGTTTAGTCCACAGTGCAAGTGTGTGTGAGAATCTCCGCACGTGATATATTGAGCACCATGGCAGCAACGGTGCCTGAACGCATGTATCTTTCAATACTGGTATGTGTGTGTGCATGGCAAAGGAAGCTAGCACCACTAAAAGTAACTGTGAAGATTGATTGCTTTTCTGCGCCATTTCCAGCGCTGCGTGCCATGTCCCAACAGCATTCCTTAGTCCAAAGCCATTCATCCTCTACTGCCTCCACTGCTGAGCTAGCTCTGTAGACTGTTAGCGCAAAACAACAGCCTGGAAGGTCTGATAATATCAGCATCAAACGGAAATGTCCTCGCTGTGGTGGTAATGTACAAATGGAATGGATCGGCCGAGAGCGCATTGGGGAGGAGAGTGGTGGAGTCACTGATTACAATATGATTATAATTCAGGAAAAGGAAGAAAAAAATCCTTCGAGCCGGATTCGAACCAGCGACCTAAAGATGACTGCACAATCCAGAGACGTGCACACTACAGTCTTCCGCTCTACCAACTGAGCTATCGAAGGAGACAGATTAAGACCAGCCAAAACATTCTAGATGTACACGAATACGGATCAGCGATGGCTGACCAATCACCTCCACTGCATACATACAACACTGCTGTTGTGGCAAATGAAATCCCAACCCCAAGTCAAAAGTCATGCCCTCTGTAGCCCTCGACTTGTGTACAAAATGGCAAGAAGAAGCAGGGCCCATGGAACTATGCTGTGAAACACACATGAGGCATGATCAGGGCATAATTATCTGATTATGGCAGCTGAAATGGTCGGGACAAAAAAAAGCCCTTGCCTTGTACTCCAAGGTACACTGCATGTACAGTACATGTGTAAGGACTGTGTGCATGCCCACGAGCATATCTGGGCCAGTGCCATCACGCACTATTTTGTATTTGCACCGTGCACGATGTCACCAGGAAGGAAACGCGGTGCTGAATTCGGCTCACAAGTCAGACTTTGTTGGCCAAAACCGAACATGAAAACCAGAGTGTGCTGCATGGGTACATGTACTTTGTCACGGAGAAATTCCTGGATCACATCATACAGTAAAACCTGTAACTAAAGACCACCGTGACTAGCGACCAGCCTGGTACTACAGTAAAACCTGTAACTAAAGACCACCGTGACTAGCGACCAGCCTGGTACTACAGTAAAACCTGTAACTGAAGACCACCGTGACTAGCGACCAGCCTGGTACTACAGTAAAACCTGTAACTAAAGACCACCGTGACTAGCGACCAGCCTGGTACTACAGTAAAACCTGTAACTGAAGACCACCGTGACTAGCGACCAGCCTGGTACTACAGTAAAACCTGTAACTGAAGACCACCGTGACTAGCGACCAGCCTGGTACTACAGTAAAACCTGTAACTGAAGACCACCGTGACTAGCGACCAGCCTGGTACTACAGTAAAACCTGTAACTGAAGACCACCGTGACTAGCGACCAGCCTGGTACTACAGACCACTGCCCCTGGCACGGACGGTCTCACATTCGTATTATGGTTGTGCGGTGCAGACCTCTAACTAGTGACCACCTGCCACTAAAGACCGCTTTCTCTGGCCCCAAGGGGTGGTCGTTAGTCACAGGTTTTACTGTAGTTGCTGTAGACATGCGAGAAGTGGCAGAAAGTGGCTCAGTGCACATCACTGGGCCGCAGGTGTGCAGCGGGACACACGCTTGGATCCTGCGTGTACGCACAGCATCACTAAATGATTTGCTGCGGTGGCATCAAGCCATACGTCCTGCACACTCTGGTTGTCATGTACTCTTGACCCCAAACAAAATCGATAGGAAAAGGTGTACATACTGTACCCTGGAAACATAATGGTCGTCATCCAACCAGGCCACCTTGTTTACACTCGTGATCATAATCACCGGGCATGACTCAGGGCAATATAAATAAAAAACGTCCCAAATGTGGTTGTACAGGCCGAGCACCTACCAACCGCATAACTTTATAGCTAAGAGCTCTATTCAATTTCATTGCCATGTGTGCTCTAGTCTGTGCCACCTACAATGTAGCTGATGTGCGCGAGATCTATCCAACAGGCCATACATCCAATGCAATAACACTGATAACAGGATATAGAATTATTGACTGTACACCCACGATTCTCTGTCGCCGGTATTGTTTACGATATACCTGGAAGCTGCGTTAAGAGAAGTACGAAACCGTCTACCGCCGCGACCAGACCGAGATGTCCAGCTGCTTCTGCCCGGAGAGTCGGAATATGCAGATGATGTGGACTTCATCAGTACCGACCAAAAGTATCTAAAAGATTGCCTTCCTACAATATCCTCTTCGTTAGCAGAGTGGAACTTGAAGATGAATGAGGGGAAGACGGAACACACCATGATAAGCAGACAAAAGGATCGAATAGAGGAACAGTGGCGACACACAATAAAGCTGGGCTCGATGCTTGGAGTGGATGAGGACATAGGCAGACGAAAGCGGTTGGCTACAAGCGCACTTCACCGGATGTGGGTGATATGGCTGAGAGGGCAACACATCAGAGAGTCTCTACGAGTGCGCCTCTATAATAGCTTCATTCTACCAATCCTGCTTTATAACTGTGGCACGTGGAGTCTCACGGGGACACAGGAGCGGAAATTGGACTCGTTCCACAGGCAGCAGCTGCGAACAGTGATAGGCATTAAATACCCGCTCATAATAAAGAACACTTCCCTGTATAAACGCACAGAATCTCGCCCCGTGAGCCTAATCATCAGAGATGCTAGATGGAGGCTGTTTGGTCATGTGCTGCATTTGGAAGAGGCAGCCCCAGCCAGACGTGCCATGGGAGCTTACTTCTTAGGGGGTAACGGCCCCAGCTTTAGGGGACGCCCAAGAACAACGCTCCCGCGAACGCTCAATAATGATCTCAAAAAGCTGAAAAATAATACCGCCCTAGAGACTGGCGATGACTTGAACATGCTGCAGCAGCTTGCCCAAGACCGTCGACAGTGGCGGGAACTGGTGAAGGCTGTATGTAGCTGCTAATGAAACAATGGACATAATTTATACCTTTATATATAGATAATGGAGATGACTGCAACAGGCTGCAGCAGCTCGCCCAGGATCGCCCTCAGTGGCAGGACCTGGTGAAGGTTGTATGTAGCCGCTAATGTAACAATGGACATAACTTTGCGTTTCCATCTTGTCTTTTTTGTGATTGTAATGCTTGATGTGCACTGTGCTTCCTCGCATTCACTTGCTCCTTCTTGCAGCTTGTCTCTTTTTTCTGTTTTTTGTTTTGTTTTGACGCTCTGTGTGCATTGCGCTTCCTCGCGCTCACTTGCTCCTTCTTGCGGCTTAAGCGAAGGCTATATGTGAGCTTTATAAGCTCACTGATGCTAACGCGAATAGAGCATAATAATAATAATAACACCCAGTGTTGCACACATACCCGAGTTTCGGACAATTCAGCCTTCTCCTTGATGTCATGAATTCGAATAAACAACTCCTGGATTGCCTTTTGCGCCTCCTCCAATGACTACACAAACAACCAAAAAGACACCATCAAAAAATTGTGAGAATAAAGAATAACAAAAAGGAGACAGTGCAGGCCCGTTGCTAATGGCCGATTCACAATACAACTTTCTGCGACGCGACACACGATTCGCGACAGTTGCGACAAGAAACTGCCTGTCGCGAGCTGTCGCGTGCAGTCGCAAGGCACCTGTCGCAGAAGTTAAAGAAAGTTCAACTTTTGCGACATGAGAAGCGCGACATACACAACTGGAGTACAGTTTCTACCCCGAGTGCACGTGCATAGCACTACTAGTGCATAAGGATGTCGCAAACATTAAAAAGATTGTGAACCGTGTGTCGCTGTCGCAGCTAGGTGTCGCATGTCGCGTCGCAAGAAATTGTATTGTGAATCGGCGTTAAGAATAAAAAATGACAAAAAAATCCTTCGAGCCGGATTTGAACCAGCGACCTAAAGATATCTGCATGCTCAAGAGGCAAACAAACTACAGTCTTCCGCTCTACCAACTGAGCTATCGAAGGAGACATTCTAAAGGTAGATCAGTAAGGTACATCAACACGAACTGAGCGATCTTGCAGCCTATGCAGGAAAACAGAACGGACTCACAGAGTTTCAAGTTGACATCATGATAATGCAATGCCTATTGTACGCAAGACTTCCCAGGGTGTCAACGCATTCACACGAATCTACTCAGTTTGCAGGGTCAGGTCACTGAATGTCCACTGCTGGCCCAAGCCGAAAGGGATGCCATCAATAGGCACAGGCCCTAATACATGCAGGGGATAACATGTTATCAATCAACCATGCACACAAATGGAGCTTGTTACCCTACAGTAAATCTCACGACTACACGCAGTACTGCATCAATAGTGTACCGGCAGAGCACTCACCTGACGTCCATCATGGCCGACATTGGTCTGGCCGCGGACAACGCCTCGAATGTCATCATCCAGTCTCCTGCAACACACGTCACAGATCACCGCAGCACACAGAAAGCAGTGAGCAGGGACAGGACACTTTGCTATCAACTGCACAGGGTCAAGGAGGACTGGGTCATGGCATTCAGCCATTCACATCCCAAAGATGGCAACCAAAACTTCACTTGTCGCAGTCCCCGGTCCGGGAATGGTTTACGAATATTTTTGTGCGTATGAATGGTGGTGGAGGCTCAGAAGATGAAATGTTTCCTGCGTTAGATTTACGACATCTTCGTGAACGGAGCAAAGAACAATGAGACAGGAATCTGAAACTGCACAAAAGAACTACAATGGACCACCACCTCCATGAAAGGTAACTGCATGAACAAGCCAGCGCTGGACAATGCAGCCAGTGCCCGGGAGTGTGTTTGTGTGTAGAGCTAGGGGGGGGGGGGCTAACTTATTCCTCATCGTGATGAGACTAGATTTCACCGAGTGTTCGCCTGCAGCATGTTGACGTGCATGGGCGTATGGCTAACACAAGCGAGAACAGTGACTGCATGCAACCATGGTGTGGATGAAACCAACCATGACATTCAGTCCTTACCGAATTTTTAATCGCATCCGTTTCATAACATCATCGATATTGGCGACGGACTGGAACAATGACAGCAAACACAACAAAACCAACAAAACAAACAAAAAAACAACAACAAAACAACAACAAAACTGGTATGAAGGTCGGTTTGACATTCTACAATGCTCACTCGTGGAATTACGTATGTGTGTGTGTGTGTGTGTGTGTGTGCTTACACATGGATAGACTATTGCTATACTGTGCTGAGCTACACACAAAAAGACAGGCTAACATACTAAAAGGTCACAGCACATAAAAGTGCGGTCTCCCGGCACCGTGCGCCTTTGTTTTCGAGGATTTTACAAGAAAAAAAATGTCTGCATCCCCCCCCCCCCCCCCCCCCCCCGTACACATGGATTGAGTCAGCAAGTCATACAAACGTGTAGTACTGTTGTACAAGTGGTGTGTACGACTCCTTGCATCGAGAATACGGGAGTGTACGTCCGATAAAATATCCCCAAGACATGCACATGACCGTGAACAGTCATCATCATCATCTCAAAGATAGTATAGTATTGGAGAGCTACACCCGCACAACGCATAACGGACTTTAGGCTGGACCGACAGGACGCAATCATACCATCACAGTCCAAGTTGTGAGAAAATCACGGAGCAAAGAGTGACGTGATGGGTGCAGGATGGGTTTTTTAACAGGGCTGCAGGCCCTTGCGACATGCGTAGCTGCGCTCGTTGCTTTCTACACGTTATCTATGCAGCGATAATGCTTCATCTGTTCATGACTGGTTTGAGGAAAATTGTCGTTTTCAAGTGGATTTGTTTTTCCGCCGGGCTGGGGTCCTTTTGCCCTGTCAAGTGACGGGGAAGGAACGGGTTTGATTGCTGTGGCCTAACCGAGAGTCCACAAACCAGAATTAAATGATCTCCACCATCCATTCGACATTCATGCCGAGTTTAACAATGTGTGCGCTCGACTTCAGGCTAATGGCAGAGTACACCACAAGCCCCGATGAGCAAGCCTGGTTCCTGTTGCCCCTTTGCAGACAGTGTATACGTGAATCGAATAGTTCTATCGTGCGTTATGAATTGTTTCAAATTACACACTAAGTGCAGTGTATTAGTAGCAGCTATTGTCTGAGGTTCTGCAGAATTCACTTCAAACCCTATGCAAAAGTGAATGAAAGTCGGTGCATTGTTGCAATGAGCATCTCATGATATCAGCCCCTCCACAAACAACTGGAGAGCCGGGCGTTTATTTAAATTTGTATCTATTTTATTTCACATCGATATCAAATGGGCAGTGCTACCCAACAATTGTGATTCGATGGCTTCAGAGCAAAGGAAAGTGGAGATGAGAAAACGAAACGGGTCTCGCAAAGCTCATACATCAGGAAGCAAGACACATGCAGCAGTGCATGAGTATTCACCAGGACGTGTATTTCTACAAGTACAAGTAAAACGTCTGTCACGTCACGAGACAGCAAGAAATAAATTGTTGTCATGCCACACAGACAACGGTTGACACACACGACTAACCTGCTCGGTTGGAAATAGAGCATTTATATATTCCACCGCATTGAAATCATTGCTATCAAGAGGATCACTGCTGGGAAACACCTACACGGACAGTGCACGGGGACAGTGACAAAAGGTTGCAATTGTGTGAAAACAATTCGAAGGAAATTTCAATGTCAATCTTTGAATACCTCAGCAATGGCTTTCTCAACTTCTTTGCTGAAAATGAGGGTTCCACTCTCATCTCCATCAAAAATATCATCATCAGATTCCTCAATGGCTGCCATGATGATCAGGATAGAGCAAGATCACAATGGTCTTGGCTCTAATTGTCAGGCAGCAAACACCTGAGGAAGACGAAACCCAAGCACAATTTTTGGTTCAACTTTTGGGCCATCTGCAGCCGCCGACGTCAGGGACTGTTGCTACGACGTCATCAGGACCAGGGTTACAAGTCTGTATTTTTACGACTCATTTTAATTAATTTTTACGACTCATTGATCAGAACCCGGGCGAAAGAGCCCGGGTTGATCTTCCAGCATACCCGCCCCCGATGCAGGTGTTGGGGTCCCGGGTCAGCTCCAGGGGCCTATACAACTCCCTGGTCAGCTCCACGCCTCCAGCATTCAGTTAGGTACCTGGTTACATGTACAATCATGTACTTAAAGTCTTTCGCAGTTTGTTTGTCATGACATTCACTTGCACAGCCTCTTGACCAGAGGCTGACAGATACTTAGTCTACGACTCTCCGTCCAAGACTGGGGAGCTTATTCACTCTTGCTCCATCCCTGCTCCTTTTTCCCTGTTTCAGAACTTCAGTGATTCCGTGACACTCTTGTCGGATATCTAGGATGACTGTGCTGTCATCAACAGTAGACTTATTTTACTAGTATGTTTACTCAGTTTCCAGTTTTCACCCCTTGATTCAGATTATGAATAGTGTGCAGTCATGTCCTGCCTGTGAACACCCGCAGGATTCATATTACAGTATAATCTACTACAAATAGCGGAGTCCTCCGGATCGATAGAGTGCTCAATGCGGAAGCAGAGCAGTAACACACGAGTCACAGGAAAACCACGCGTCTTGATTGTCGTAACTTAAAGTTTCATGCCATATAGCAATCTTCAGACAACTGACAACTCAGTTGTCTGAAGTATGGCATGAAACTTTAAGTTACGACAATCAAGACGCGTGGTTTTCCTGTGACTCGTGTATAATCTACTATCAATATTCTGTTGTTTTCTCAATGATTATGTACAGGAAAATTCACTTACGGCGCCACGCAACTCCGCGGCAATACTACCGGCCAGGCCGGAGTGGCCCATCTGGACAGAGATCTCAGTTCTGCCGACCGCCTTGGACCCGGTGGGTGATCTCTGTAACCAAGTTAAAATCATATATTACCCGGGTGCTTACGAGACATACAGGCACCAACACCAAGCTGGGCGGGGGGGGGGGGGGAGTAATCCCTCCACCCCCCCCCCCCCCCCAACACCACCACCACCACCACCCCTGTGACCTACACAGTGCGCAAAGGTAAGACTGTTTGAACTGGGCATGCATGCCTTGACTACAAGAGCCTGGTATTCATCACGGGTAACACTGCGGGCATACTACCACCGGGTGGGAAATACCCTTTTTAGTGTCCTGCACTGCGGCGGGCCCGGTGACTTCAGCACTAATAGTAATACAACTTCCAGTGCCGGTTCGCCTCTTCACGGGCCCTCCATGGCAAAACTGAGTCCAAGCTGCATGCGGTATACACATGTATAAATCATTCACGGCTTCGGTCGGCTTCTTCAAGTGGAGGCCATACATGCCACGCTTGAATCTTGCTACCATCCCGTGACAGCTTATAATTATGGTTTGCACGATTTCTCCATGCACGGCTAACGGAGCAGTTGTCAGACATCACGCCGTCAACTGCGTTCACTGACCTAGCGTGAGCAAAGCAGCCCTTTACATGGACTTTCTATTTGGAAGTTCATTGAAATACATGTATTCAGAACACTTGTACGCCTGGAGTAAGAAGAGAAACTCTGATAGATTGAGTAAAGATCGAATCCGGGGAAACCCCGGGCCGTTGAAGCAGAACAATTTTGAAAATGCAGAATTTGTGATAAATATGTCTAAAAGAATTGCCGGGATTGGAGTGGACAGCTGAATATGTCAGTTACATCAAGAACTTGTAAGCAAGCTATGAACATGGCAGCACTGGAGAGGATGGCTTGCCATGATTGAATAACGCCTGCACTGGATCATACTACAAGGCTAACATCAATGCCAATGGTGAACAGAAATTATGCGGGCAAACTATATGTATGAGCAATCGACCTATAACCTATGATCAAGGCGTCAACAGACCTCTAATTGTACTTCGGATGCACGTACTATCACGTGCAGCCCACATACTGGGAGATATCTCTCTTTATCTCAAGACTATCCGTTGAAAATGTCAAAATGTATACGGGCTTGGCGCGTGTACGAACACGACAACAGGCCATCTGGTGTCGTAATTCTATTGAGATGTGTTAGGAGCATCGCCTCCAGCAGGCGGACGCATGGAATCCTCAGACAGGCGGCGTGCTGGTGCACTCGCTGACGCCGTCGGCTTCCACTGCGGCCGTTTCCAGTGACGTAACCGGGACGCCGCCCACGCGCACGCCCGCGATGCATCCGCGCAGGCCGAACGCCATGCCGAGACCGTACGGGTTGATAGTGGCGGCCGGTACACCGCCCAGGTACAGCTGAGTGGCATCGGTCAGACCTACGGCCGTTCCAGGAGTTGTAGCGCGGTGAGAGCTTCCACCAACAACTAGAATAACGTTCCTCTGGTTTCTGTGTGAATATAGAGACACATCGATGAACACTTAAAGTTACTTGTTGTAATGTTTCTTCATGGTCAAGTGCACACTTTGGTCTAAAGCTTAGTAACAAACACACAGCTTATTCCGAGGCTACAAGCAGCCATCTCCATCATCACTGCAAGCTTTAGAAACATGCTAGGGTGCCTTTCTGAAAAAACCAGCTTCCCACGGTACACTGAGGTAGGTTGGTGAAGACAGGTACGGCTGCATCTGAGAATGACAGACTGGCCAAAACCTTTTCTGACCAGACCCACATGTCATCGCTGGTGGTACAGCTTGTGGCATCACTTCTGTAGGTGTACCAGCGACTGTAAGATATCCTGTTCACAATGAGAGGTACGTATTGACGGTGGCAGCAACCTTTCTGCAGGAAAACTTGCCCAACATTTGGCAAACACTACGAAGGTCCGGTACGTTTGGGAGCGCACCCGTTCATAATTTATCACCGTTAATGCAGAGCTAGTATCACTGTGTGTCCGGTTGTAGTGGACTTGCCCCGCCAAAACCTAATGACGGGTAAGTTACGCATAAGTCCCAATGGTCATGTTGATGTATGCATCACTGGCTTATTGTCTGCTACAATACCTATGATAAATATGCATGCTTACCTGACTATCTGAACCCTTGTCCAGCTGTTCAAGTTGATAAGACCAGATGATACTGACACTGGACCACTGCCGAGATTCACTCTGGAAACAAATGGCACAGAAAGTGAATTGTACGAATCACTTTACCACACCATGCTGCTCCCTGGGAAATCCCCCCGTTCCCAACTTGTACACAGCACCTCAACAGTACGTTCTGTGACAGCAACCCTTTCAAGCAGCCATGGAACTAGAGCATATAATCCCTGGCGATGGTGTGTGCTTGAGAATGATAGTGACAATGCTTTGAAAGCACCGTCAACTGAACCGGTAGATCGTGGCAGCAATTCCAAATGTGCTCAGTTGTAAAAAATAAAAATAAAAAAGGTTTCGAAAAGCAGCTGCGGCTCATACTGATGGCATTACTTCAGAGTCTGATGGAGCCCAAGAGTTTTCTAAATCAAACGCTCACCTCAGACTCAATGTTCTGTTGGCCATCGATAGCCAGATGTAGTCGACGCCATCCACCCCAGGCTCTCCCTGCAGAGCAGTAAAAGCAAAAACAGAAACAACAGTGTACTACTTAGAGGAACGGACCTCTTCGTGATGGTTAAGACATGAATAACCAACCACTCACAATGACCACTACCACACAAGTCAGTGGCCCTTCCTAACTGTTGCAGAGAGCCTGAACATCTCCAAGAAAAAGAAACATGCCTCTTCGTACTTCATGAGAGAGAACAGCTGGCTTCGAGATAAGCAACAAGTTCGAAATGATGGGAAGGGGATGCCAGGTGTACAGTGATGGGCGTCTATCGGCTACAGGATTCCTAACTTACCTGAGTAAGCGCTAGCAGTACTCCGTCGCCATGTGTCGGCCTCAGCTGCAGATCAATGTCGGTGGCCAAGTCGCTGATGTTGTACATCGCCGCGTCCAGCGTGAGATGGCCCACGCCAGCGAACGAAGCAGACTTGAAGGCAACAGCTGCACAGATGGCAATGGTGCACAGCACAGGCGTATTGTCAACAACAATTCATTCGCAGTCAACCTTGCGAACGACAACCATCGGCCGTGCATGAGAAAAGCAGTTATTCGTGAGCTGTCGTTATTCACAAGGTTGAAAGTATACAAACGGTCACTAGGTCTAAATATTGTGTCGGTATTCACGAGTTGTGGTCATACCCGAGGTCATTCGTCAAGAGGTTGACTGTACTGCGATTCAAATAAGTACAGTGAAACCTGTCTAAGACGACGGCTCAAGGGACCTGCAAAACCTGGTCTCTGTAACCAGGTGGTCTTCTTATCCAGGGTCATTTGACTGGAATCAGGACCAGGACCAAGGGGTGATAACCCCTTGGTCCCGGTTGCAGCGGTCTTCTGGAACAGGTGGTCGCCTTATCCGAGTGGTCTCCTTTACAGGTTTTACTATATACAGTGGTGTGAACATCGCACATGCTATCATGCAGGGCTGTAGTACCGCTGACCACCTCTAATTCTACAAATACAGGACAGGCTAGTATGAATGCCATCCGGTATTCGTGTATTTCCGGAACAACACGGAAACTGACGGAAAGCTTTACATCATCAACAACGCAAGTGGTCTCGCTGCTGCAGAATTACATTATATCAATCTGGAACGAAACGGATTAATTGACAACAACTGGATGCAGGCGAAGACAACAGCTTTGACTTGGAAGTGTGTTGCAACCGAGAGGATATGTGGAGTATGCAAGACCAGTGCATATGCCAATGGCGTCCCCTGCCACCCGTCCATGCATGCCTTGAAGTACGAGTAGAAGTGATCTTCTCCCAAGCGCTTACCATCGCTGCATGTAGGACCGCCGGTCGACAATGGACAAACGCACGCGGGCGTTCCCGTAGCGTCGTCTCGGCACACACCGCGACGATTGCTCTGACAGGTACCGGAGCAGAATGTACTGTCGCCGCACTCCGCCACGCCGGACGATGCCTCCATGCTCTTGGACGACGAGGCCAGGTTCTGCACTTCGTTGTTGACGGCGAGAAACGCAACGCAGCCTCGGAACGGAACCGTGAGACCGCTCGGTGTGGCAGCGACCGGCGGAAGAACATCCGACGGGTGTCCGCCGATGTACAATCCGTACAGGAGATCCAGTTGCTTCATCGGGCCCTAAACATACACCACAACATCCAGGAAAGGCAACAAAATAGCAGCAATGACGACCATGACGACGACCACCACCGCCAGCACCACCATCATAACAGCAGCAGCAGCAGCAACGACGACGACGACGACCACAACAACAACAACAACAACAACAACAACAACAACGACAACAGCAACAACGTCAGAGAGTTACCACACAGATATATTGTTGAAAAAACACTCACCGTTGATTGGCCAAACACCGCCGTACCATCGTCCACCACCAGCCAGCCCTTAGCGCCATCTCTCCACACGGTTACGTTATGCCACTGGTGCAGTGATACTGGAGATGCTGAGCGGATCACCACCGGAACACCGCCGCAATCAAATCTGAACGATCACATATTGCACAAGCCTCCATTACATGTGCTGAGCATGTCTACGCTGCTTATCCAGCCATGCATGTCGTGCTGCGTGCATAGGGAGTATGTGGACAGTGAACTAAGGAAAGTCCCTTTGGAAAACCGTATCCACAGCTTCGACGGCATGTAGGCTCATACTGTGCTGGTAGTGCGTACAGCAGAGGAGCCTGATCATACCCTGTGATTGCTCCTTTATGTATACTTTCACTCACCAACTAACCTAGGTACTGCATGATGTACAGGTACATGTACATGTACAATCATGCATTGTGAACTCATCTCAAGCTGAAAATCTGAAGCTCAACCACAGCTAGCTTACCTGAACTGGACTATTCCGGCGCTTAGACTTATTGACAGGAAATCACCCACGCCATCATTCTTCTGCATTCCCAGGATGACCAGACCGTCCGAGTGCTGCGGACGGAAGATAACTTCGAACCTGGAGTACAGGCCACTGGAGGCTGCCACTGGCTTAATGCTCAAGAACGAGACTCCCTGGAACTGTGGCCGCCAGAACTGCAAGGCTGTACAGGGGAAGACAGGAGTCAGAGGCCAGCGTCACGCTGGGTCAGGATGTAGCCAAAACCATACACATGTAGGCCGGGCCGGGTGACACCTTTTTATGTCATGGTGATGTTATGTGATGGCATGCTTAGAAATCGTCAGCTGCTTTGCGTGTCCAGAAACACTGAAAGCACTCATTCCACCCTACGCATTTGCAAACATTTTTAAAATGATCTTATACACGATTATGTCATCATTGTGCACATGGCCTACACATGCACGGTAGCGTATGCATGAAAGTGTACACTAGACTTATTCTAACTAGTTACTGTAGGTTGCATTCACCATTCAAACATCCTCCCCACCACTATAATGGATGGCTATAGAGGTCTCCGCGTTTTTGAGAAAGTTACTGTTGACATTCACGATTTTTCCTCAACACCGCTCGAGTCATTCTAATAGCCCATTCAGAGATAACAGCCCTTGGGGCTCAGTTCACTCGACTCTGGCCACTGAGCCAACTTTGACCTTCCAGCTGCCTTCTACACATTCCAAGTTCACAATCCACGCTGAAGAGTCTGTGGTTCAACACTGCTTTTCTGTCCAATTGTTACGAAAACGCGCAGCCCCCTCTACTTCCCATAAGCTAAAAATTGGCTTGTGAGCCATAATTTTAGCGCAAATGTGACAAGGTTAAGGGATTTACGAAGGCAATACTGTGTAGAATTATGTTCATTGTTGCTGAGCGTACGGATGATTGGATTTATCTTCCTCCAATCAGCTCACTACGCACTGTGAGAGTGTGAATGCAAGCACCAGCAGACTGGTTTGTATAGTGAGGAACATAAGCTTACCTTCTTTGCAGTCCCGCCGGCCAAAGCCAAGTGGGCAGCTGCAGACGAACTCCGTGCCATGAGCATGACAGCTGCCTCCGTTGGCGCAGCTGAAGTTTAGCCGCGCACAGGGCGATTCCTCGCAGGCTTGCACGGCAAAGTGCGTCACCTTGGACAGATCGGCGAGGCTTGCGGTGTGGCCGATCGCTAGCACGATGCTGTTCTGGATGCAACCACGGAAGTTACTCGCAAACTGTGTGCGTTGCAGCAGGTCGTCGCTCACCCCACCAACGTACAGCAGTGATGTTTTGACGTCCAGAGGCGTGGGAGTGCGATGGGTGTCAGACGCATCATGACTCATTATCTGCAGCATGTGACCGTGCATCATAACCCCGACTACCAGCCATTTCTCCACTGCCAGTATCTTGGTTGCTAAGGCACTGCCTGCCGTGCCACCCAGCTGGTACCTACAAAGTGAAGAGAAATACAATGATCACACAGCAATGAAGCACTCAAATATTTTCCGCCGTCACTCGGAGTTTCTTGTTAACAAACATTCATCAGACAGCATATGACCAAGACTAGCATTCACTAGAATAAGGATGTGATGTGAAAAGAGATGGATGGGATGGGATGGGATGGGATGGGTGGAAAGAGAGTTAATGAGTGAGTCAGTGAGTGAGATGTAATGGACCCACTGGTCTCATTCCTAAGCAAAACACGCATACAGGCAGTGAAACAAGCACAGCTCCCTATGCTGGAACTGCAAAATATAATCTAGCCGACGACGTTCTTTGTTGCAAATACACAGTTTGCTATGTTCACTGACTTCTCTTTTAGTCCCCACGCAAAAAAAATTCATATTTCATCGTTTTATTGCACATCGTCTCCACCGTTTTACATTGCATGAATAAAGTACACAAATGTCGGTTCAGGTCGTCTTATTGATTGCAGTTAGCAAAAAATCTAAAACTATTAAAGCTGTGACTGCCTAGCGAAGCTATAGGAATCAATATTTAGACATACATGTACAACATGCCTGCATGTGCATGATAATCTGCAGGGTACCCAACATAGCAAACATACCTTATTAGGATCCTGCCACCGACCAGCCCCAGAGCCAGGAAGTCGCCAGATTGTCCACCGTCAGAGCTCCAGAACATTGCCAGAACCAGACCTTCGCCAGTGCTGGGCCTCACGTCCAGGCGAATGCCAAACGAGCTCTGCTTTACGGGCACGTCGAGTCGCACCATGGACAGTCCAGCGCCAGAGTAGCCGGCAGCATCGGTGCTGCTCCGGCAGTTCGGACCAGCGCTGGGAAACGCGCATGAACAGTGATACTTGCCCGTTATCGTCCTGGAGCAGATGCTGCCCAGAGCGCAGGGGTTGCTCGAGCACGGGTCGTTCAGCACCTCACAGAACGGGCCGGCGTAGCCGAACGGACACCGGCACGTGAACTTGTACTCGGACGTGTCATCGGGGCCACAGTGCCCGCCGTTCTGGCACGGACTGGGATAGCACACTTCGGCAATCTCGCAGCGGTCGCCACGGTAACCACCGCTGCAGTTGCACGCAAACCAGTCCGGGGCCTGCACGCTGCCAATGCACTCACCGCCGAAATAGCACGGTGACGATGAGCACGCATGGACGCTGCTCGCACACTGCGAGCCGCCGAATCCGTTCTGGCAAACGCATGCGACCGTACCGTTGCTATGGCGTTCGCACGTTGCGCCGTTCTTGCAGTTCAGTAGCTCGCATGAATGACTGGCCGGGATCTGGCAGTGATCTCCGGTGTACTTTGGAGGGCATTCGCAGGCGTAGCGTCCGGCACCACCCGTACACTTGCCACCGTTCTGGCAGGGCGTGGACAGACACGCATCCAGCAAGATCTCACACTGCACACCCGTCAGACCATTGGGACACAGGCAAGTAAACCCGTTAGCGCCGTCACGGCAGATACCGTTGTTGCGGCACGGCGAGCTTAGGCATTCGTTGACGTTCGTCTCACAGTGGTGTCCGGTGAACCCCGGAGCACACTTGCATGCAAACTGGGAGCCGAAACTGGTGCACGTTGCACCGTTCTTGCACGGCGCGGACAGGCAGTGGTTCACGCGGACACTGTCCGTACACGCCGGGCCAAACTTGCCGGCCGGGCAGATGCACTCGTGCTGGGCTTCGCTGATGGCGTGGCAAGCTGCAGTGCCGCACGGGTTCGGCGTGCACGGTGTGCCCTGGCAGAGATCACCGAAGAACCCGCTCGCACATTCACACACTGCAGTGATGCCAGCGTCATGTGATGTGCATGTGCCTCCGTTGGAGCACGTCATGGAGGAGCAGTCGGTCACCACGGTTTCACAACTGTCACCCACGTAGCCTGAGAGGCAGCTGCAGACACCGGATAGCGACTGGCACGTGCCACCATTCTTGCAGCTCGTCTGGGAGCAGTGCGTTGGGCTCACGGAAGAAGGCGTCGTCGCGGGCACGGTCGTCGGTGTTGCGGTGGTCGTGCTCACAGGGGCAGTGGTGACGCTGGCCTGGCACTGGGTGCCGGTGAACGCGACGGGACACAGGCACTTCGCAGTGCCGCCACTGCTGCCATCCACGTAGCAGGTTCCGCCGTTGGAGCACGACAGCACCGAGCACGGATCTACGTACGTCTCGCACGTCACTCCGGTCCAGTGCACGGGGCAAAGGCATTTAAAGCGGCCAATTGCATTGATGCATGTGCCCCCGCTAAGACATGGCATCGACGTGCATTCATTGATATCAGTTTGACAGCGTGCACCTGTGGAACCCGGGGAACAGGAGCAAGAGTACCCGTCCACAAGATCCGTGCAGGAGCCACTTCCACACGGCGAACTGCCGCATTCGTCAATGTTGGACGAGCACACCGGGTCTGTAAAGCCGGCCCTGCACGCACACGTGTACATGGCGATGCCCTCCACGCAGCCCAACGCACCAGTGGCGTCGCACGGATTCGAATCGCACTCCAGCACGTCGGCGTCGCAGTTCTTGCCCGTGTACCCGCTCTTGCACTGGCAGTCGTACGCGTTGACGCGGTCCGTGCAGGTCGCGTCGTTGGCGCACGGCTTCGCCTGGCACTCGTCAATGTCCGTCTGACACAGAGCGCCCGTGTAGCCCGCACTGCAGTTACAGAGGAACGAGTTGACCCGGTCGAGGCACTGCCCGTTGACGCAGGGACGCGGCGCACACTCGTCCATATCCACCTCACAGCGGAAGCCCGTGAAGCCGGCCAGGCACTGGCACGAGTAGGCGTTCACTGCATCCGTGCACTGGCCGCCGTGCCTGCACGGAGTGCTGAGACAGTCGTCGATGTCAGATTCACACAGCGCTCCAGTGTAGCCGGCCGAACACGTGCAGTTGAAACTGATGCCCGGCGTCTCGCTGCACGTGGAGCCATGCTGACACGGGCCACTGTAGCAGTAGAGTTGTTGTTCGCAGTAGCGTCCCGTCGTTGACGGCGGGCAAGTGCACACACCGCCCGTGGCACTGTCCTGGCATGTGCCCCCTGCTTGACACAGGCCAGGCGAACAGCTGCATGGGGGGAGAGAGAGAGAGAGAGAGAGAGAGAGAGAGAGAGAGAGAGAGAGAGAGAGAGAGAGAGAGAGAGAGAGAGAGAGAGAGAGAGAGAGAGAGAGAGAGAGAGAGAGAGAGAGAGAGAGAGAGAGAGAGAGAGAGAGAGAGAGAGAGAGAGAGAGAGAGAGAGAGAGAGAGAGAGAGGTTATCATAAGCTTTGCCAGGCGGTTGATGACTGAAGACAATGACTTGAATAAAGCATGTCGTATTTCGGCGCAGCTGGCGTGTCCTTCAGTCTGTGAAGAATTCAGCTTCTTCTAAAGGGCGAGCTGCATTCATGCTTGGCTACCCTAATAATTTGATTAGTAGCTAACACTTCTGCTTTGACCTGCAATTGTTTTGGTCGAAGGAACAGTCTGTTGAAGTGTTCAGCATTTCACTACTTCAGAGTAGCTCTAAAATTCCACTCTAGGCTAACAGAAAGGTCTACCCAAATGCAACGACGTGCTTCCCTACCGCACTATCTTGAGCCGGCACGCTTTGACCTGCTTTTCTTTGGTCAAAGTAACAGTCTCTTGAAGTGTTCAGCATTTTCACTAGCTCCAAAGTTCACCTCTAGGCTAACAGAAAGATCTACCCACATGCAATTGCAAGCTTCCCTACCGGACTATCTTGTGCTGGCAAGCGTCGCCGTAGTACTCGGCCGTGCACGTGCAGTTGCGATAGACGCGTCCGTTGTGACAGGCGGCCGCGTTCAGGCACGGCTCCACCATGCAGTAGTCCACCGGCAGGTGACAGAACACGCCGGTGTAGCCCGGTGCGCAGTTACACGTGCCCACGCCGCCCGTCAACACACACGTTCCGCCGTTGACGCAGCGCGTAATGCGGCACTGGTCCGGGATCTTCTCCTCGCAGAAATCGCCGCGATGGCTCGCCGGGCACGAGCATATTATGGTCTTGACGCCGCTACGCACCGACTCGGAACATACCCCATTGTTTTGACACGGAGACGATCTGAGTAGAAATACGAGTATACGTGCAGATAGGTACAGGATTAGAATACCGTATTATCTCTAATATAAGCACAGTCTCCAATAATAGCACGTCTCCAATAATAGAACGCCTTGGGCGGCATTCAAAAAATAAAGTGCACAGTCTCCATTATAAGCACACTGTGTAAATTCATTATCTGTACCGGCGAAAAAAACCTGAAATGTGTGTGTGTGACATGAATTTGGCATGGCAACATGCCTCTGAAATGAGGTTGAAATAATAATGGAACAGTCTCCAATAAAGGAACGTCTCCATTAATAGCACGGGGCGGAGGTACATTGAAAAAATAAAGGACCGTGCTTATAATAGAGATAATACGGTAAGCTATAATCGGCGCCGAGCACGCTTTCTTTTTGAAGTCTTTGCGTACACAAGAGGTTGCTGCAATGCCCTACCAAACCAGAATCAGGCACAACTCGCTTTTCTCAGTCCCTTGAAGTGTTCAGCATTTCGCTAGCTCTAAAAATTCAACTCTAGGCTAACAGAATACCCAAATGCAATGACACGCTTCCCTATTGTGAGAATAAAGATTTCAAACACGTACTTGCAGAAGCTGATGTCAGTCTGGCACATCGCCCCCGTAAAGCCGTACGGGCATGCGCAGCGTACCGCGCCGATCAGATCGACGCAGGTGGCCCCGTTGCGGCACGGCTGTGACTGACACTCATTGATGTCCACACCGCAGTCACTGCCCGTGTAGCCCGGTGGACAGGAGCACGTGAACGACACGGCCGTTTCCGTGCAGCTGCCGCCGTTGCGACACGGTGCCGACGCGCAGTCCTGCCACATCTCCAGGAAACTGGAACTGCAGCAGCAGCATAAAAGGGCAGGGCAGGGAAAACAGAGTCAAACCTATGCTCGGCCACTAGTCATGTGATTAGTCATGTGATCAGTCATGTGATTAGTCATGTGATTAGTCATGTGATTAGTCATGTGACTGGCCATGTGACGTGGAACACTGGCATCTTAGTCATGTGACTTAGAGCACAGGCATCATAGTCATGTGGTGTGGAGCACAGGCTGGAAGTATCCATCACAGGCATCGCATGCGGCTTTTGTCCTGCCATATCAGAAAGCGTTTGATATCACTCCTGCAAAATGTTTCCTCATACATCCTTTCATACCCAATCCCCCCCCCCTCCAAACACACACACACACACACAAACACACACACACACACACACACACACACACACACACACACACATTCCAGCATGCCATGTGTTCTTACCTGCAGTCTGTGCCAAAGAATCCCGGTCTACACTGGCAGGTCTTGTTCACCGTGTTACACACGCCGTTGTAAGAGCAGTCGTTAGGACACCCATAGCCCTGGGCACGTAGAGTGGAGAATGGAGATAGTAGACAAGATATGCACCGCACGAACGCGGGGTCCAGGATAACATGTTGAATAAGGTTGTAGCAAGTAGCATTTGGACTTTCATGCTATTTGAAGCTTGGTGACCGTGTTACCTAAATAGAGACTGCACTGTGGCGTACGCCGTCGAAAGTTAACTTAAGTCCAGGCACGCTGCTTAAGCCTGCTCCATGACCAGGGCCAGCCTAAAGCGATTCCCTCTCAACACAAATACATAACACGCTACTGCAACTCAACTAAACGGATAGAGAACGTCCTTGAACCATAGTGGAGCGCCTTGGACATATATTCTACGGGTAACGGGATTTGTTAGATTGACAGCATGAAACAAGGTGGAGGACACTGTGTTCGGAAACAGTGACCTTACTACAACCTTCCGCGGTTGTTTCCGAACACAGTGTCCTCCACCTTGTTTCATGCTGTCAATCTAACAAATTGCGTGAACTATAACAAGGTTTATCTAATACTGGTTTTTTAGTGTTAGGTTATATAATAGGTAACGTCCGGATGTACCTGCCCAACACAGGACCACCATAGTTTTAATGCCGTGAAGACTGAACGGAAATAATAAAATATTACTGAGCGGAAATATTAAAATATTTCCGTTCAGTCTTCACGTCACTGAATCATACTCTAAAACTATAGAGGGTACGCGATTACGTCATCAGTCGAGATGCTTTGGCAAAGTCGCGACACAGCGATACACTAGCGACTCGCCAGCAACCCACTCCGTATACATGTACATGTACATAGCGTTCGTCAGCGGTTCCACTGTATACTTAGTGCCCAAAAGCGCTTCCAGAACTCTACTGACTCATCATTATTTTATGACTTCTTTCGCATATTAAACAATAGAACAGTCAACTCGCTCAAACGTACGAATACAGAAGAGTGGAGTATCACAACTTACGGTGCAGATATCTGCTGCCCGTGGGCACACCAGTGTGCCGGCATACCTGAACCCGGCCACATCCACGCTGACTGATAGCTACCCAATGACAAACACACAGCATGCAAGAGTATCAAGCATGATGAGTGAGTGGGCAGTGTGTTGGTCCAAATCAAACCCAGGTGGTTAGCTATTGCAACCTTGTGTGGTTTCTTTAGCCAACCTCAGAGAACATCAAAACATGCTCTCATCCCCTCAAATCATCACCACTACACAGTCTACAGTGCGTTTCACAAACATAGACCTCTTTATTTGTCAAAAAACCCGTTAGGCCAGCATCTATACCACATACATCTGTGATTACTTTGTGAATAAAATTTCCGAAATGGTGCGTTTGTTCTGTAACACGCTATTGCTCAGTAACACGCCATTGCTCTGTAACAAATCATTACACTTCTTTGCTCTGAAATGCTTCATTGCTCTGTAACACTTCATTCCTCTGTATTGGACCCAGCACTGCTCGGTAACACAGCATCTGTAGTACTTCCATACTCTGTAACAAGTTCTTACTCTGTAGCAAAGGTATTCCTGTATGCTCTCCTTACCCATTCTGAGTCATAGGCGCAGGTAAAGTTTTTACCACCGACCTCCACCACAACCTGTTTCTGCTGGCATCTGAAGCGATAACAGCCGGCAGTGAAGTCCGACAGCATTGTCTTGGTGCCTGTGGCCAGGTCGGTTTTCGCCCACACGTTCTCGTGCTGCGCGCAATGAGAACCGGGTCCAAACACCTGTACGCTTTCCTTGAACACTGTGGACAAACACACAACGTATGATGGACACAATGAGGAACCAATGAGGATTGGGTGGGCTTTATCGCAGGTCCAAGATTGCCCCCCCCCCCTCTTCATTTCTAATTTTTTTATTCTCTGAAGTGATTCTGACGTGATTACCGAGCACTTCATATTCACAGCCAAAACGTGATGACAAATGTTGTTCCACATTGTAAAGACTCTTCGCCTTAGCAGAAATGTTCAATGATGAAATATTTATAGTTTTGGTCATCCACCGTCCACAGTTCAGTATGGCTGGCTCCGGTAAAGGTAATGGCATTCACTGAACTGCATAACCCTGCCACTGCTGCCAGGCCGTATGTGACTTACCTGTTGCAGCATCGGGATTACTGCAGAGCGACACCTCTCCACTGCTATTGAACTCCTGTTGTACAGAGCGAGGAAAAGAGTCAAGATGCATCACAGAAAGAAAAGCGTTTGGCTTCAAGCAGATACAAGACCCGGTCATGTCCTCGCATTAGTGTCGCACGCGCGTGCGCGCGCCCACACAAGCACACTACTACCTGCATGGCGACACACTTCGCCTCAATTGATCTTCATAATTATCTATCCTGAGAACTGTGTGCTGTGGCATGCCAGAATATGAAGACCGTGCAAACTGCGCATGCTTGTGGAAAAATGTGCTGCGCTTGCGTAGTTGTTCTTACTGCGATACGTTCTAACAATAATGAGATGCCTTTTGTTGGCTCTTCTGCCTGGATTTCGTTGACAGATGCGTTAAAAAAAGCCCATGGATCCTTCCATCAGTGACATGCGAACTGTAACTATTATTATTATTATAAACTGCACATGAATCCCCATGACTGTACGGTGGGCTTGCTACTTCTTAGCACATCATGCTACTAGGAGGTTTTTGTTGTCTCAGCCTAAGTAGGCTAAGTGTTGTCCAGTCTGTGCTGGCCACTAACCTGAATCATGGGGCAATAGTCAGCCAGGTAGTTGCGGCCACCCATGTGAAACGGCGTCCGGACACCCATGTACGTTGTGAAATACTGCAGCAAGGCAAAACATGGGAACATACACAGTTATTAGTAAGCAAACACACATGTTCTCTGCATCTGCAGAGACAGCATAGACATTATTTTTGAGAAGGTAAGGTGTGCTCCATTGACTTCTTCATTTCAGTACAGTATAGCATCATCACACATCCAGTACAGAAAGGTTTAATCTGTGCGTCACTGTGGTTCTGAAAGCATGCAACCTTCTACAGAGACCAGGGCTGACAACCTTTCACCCTGCATCGTATGTATGTACTGCGACAAGGCCAGCCAATGCACTGAGCACGTGCAATGTCGCGGGGAACCTAGACCCGCTCAGCACGGCGACGTTCCGCAGGACAGTACCTGATAGTCTTTGGGAACAGTCTGCGGGTAGATCTGCAAGTTGCAGCGGGCCAGTGCGTGATGACTGTTGGAGCACGTGAGCGGTGCCAGACCGTACAAATCTGTGCAATACGGATTCGAAGGACGTCCCCTGTACGTCATGGTTCACAAATCCAACGCATATACAGGCATCATGTTAGGCCTGGTGAAGACAAATTCAATGACCAGTATAGTCTGCCCAATGGCGATCAAGACTCACAAACATCACATGCTCTATCTACTACTTCAGTATGCTCTACGGTCTACACTCTACGTGGAGTCTTCAAACCATTGTTCAATGACCACCATCACCGTGAACTGGATAATATGGTTGTGTATGATTGGTTGGTAAAGTAATTCCACCTCCACCAAACGCGCTCTCTGGCCGACCTCACACACCAGCAACATGACTCCAAGTTGTAGATACTGACAAAATAGTTTTTCCTCCATACATCGCTGTTTTGACCACTATAGGTCTCATCAGTGAAGGCTACTACGAACATGCCGAAAGCTGTGGCTTACCCTTTGAGATGATTGGTCGGTGTATGTGTTATCGGCACCTGTATTTTCCAGTAAGCTGGTGAGTACTACTCGAGTCTAGTGGTGTGATTGTAACACATGCAGCCCAAGATTCCAGCCACATGCCATGCAAGACGCCCATAGCGACCGCACTGAGACATGCATCAAACAAAGGCACTGCGGGGCAATGTGCATAGCCATATCGTACAGCGCTGGGGCCTGGCCAGTGCAAAAGAACGGATATGTCTTATCTGACTTAGAAACCCAACTTCTGTCCTGGACTGAGTGGGTAGTCCGAAATGCTCACCATAAACGGTATCAAGTTCATGAAAAAGAGCTTGGCACGGAAAATGTACCCGGAAAACCCCAATACATATAGGTCTACTACCTGTACAGTGCAAGACTTACAATGCATTCGCTGTGTTGATCCATCCCAGGCAGTTCTGCAGAACAAACCCGCAGCCTTGCTTGTGACCCCAGTGGAGCACTTCACCCATGGACAGGTCAACGTTGTACCACCTGCCGCACCCGGCATCGGAAACAGCACAACAGAGCGGCGGCACGCATCAGTACTACAGTCCTGCTCAATGAAATCCAGTCACTGCGGTGCAAGTCAAGTTTGCGCCTTGGACCATTGTTCACAGGTCTAGGGCTGCACAACGCCCCGGCCCGTACTTGAGTGACACGACTGGATTTCATCGGGCAGCACTGTACTTGCGCCTTGGTCCATTGTTCACAGGTCTAGGGCTGCGCAACGCCCCGGCCCGTACTTGAGTGACGTGACTGGATTTCATCCGGCAGCACTGTACTTCCTTCACACTAGATGTGTGCTAGCATGGCAAGCAGCTCTCCGATCCACGATGGTGCGGACAGGCAAATTGAAGGGATCCAATCAGGTCCAGCATGTTCACAACATAAAGCATGTTCCAGTGCTGGTAACAGCATTCCTATAAGACCTGTGTGATCAGTTGTGATATGTAATGTGTATGCAACACGTGCAAAGTTTAGCTCCCTTCACACATTTGGAATCTAGATGAATTCAGAGGAGCTTCGAAGTAGAGTAGGCACTCGAGCAATCCGGGCTATGATATTGTCAAACTCAGTGAGCTACCCAATATCGTAGAGTCAGTAAGTACACATTCAACATACGCATACGTGATAGCACAGCACGCCTGGCTTACCCAGTGTCCTGAAGCAGTGCCAGCGTGATGCGTGACACCTTGGCCGTGTGGAAGTCTACAGCACTGCTCATGATATCCATCTGTGCACAGCCACAGCCAACAAACAGCACATGTATACAGATAGATAAGTGTCTGTGTTCTTACAAGGCACTTTTGCATTCGGGTAGGAGAAGGGTCTAACATCCCCCCACCCCCGGGCCCCTCCCTTGACACTCGAATGGATCATTTTGGCTCGGTAGGGTACATGTGTTCTGCACAAAGTGAAGCGGGTACTGTACAGACCATGTGACCCTTCCTCCTGAGACATAATACAGTGAATCGGTTTCTCCAGGTTTAGGAAAATAGCTCAAAACGTATTGCAAAAGTTGCTATGCTTTTTAACCCCCACAGGACACTAAGCACAATGCACGATTCCAAACAGAAACGGTACCCGGGTCTTGCAGCAAGGGAGTCATTTCCCCTAACGTACGTGAAAAACTCGTTCCTCCCACTGGTTCTGCTTGTCGGCCTGTAGTTCCAGCTCTGCTCCGTCCAGCCTAGTGCAGTCAAAGTGATTTTGCACTTCACTCTGCATAACACGTCAGTGCCCAAATAGACAAATATATCAGCACATAATATGCAAGGCCACAAATTCCGAGCAGACCCACTACAGGGTGTATTCGCATAAACACACACACACACACACACACACACACACACACACACACACACACACACACACACACACACACACACACACACACATCCCTTTTGATCTTTTGACGCCCATCACCGGAGGCGATGATAGCGATGCTACGGCAGAAGCCATAGCAACTTGTGCTGGGATTGCACCATTCAACAGCTTGCAAGGCTGAAGAATTGACCGCCGTGACTATTCAGCCTGGTCTACACCACACAGCTAAGAAGTAGGGATTCACGCGCACGCGTGCGTGCACACACACACACACACACACGCGCGCAAGCACGCACTCTCACACACACATACACACACACACAAACGTACACACACACACACACACACACGCGCGCGCACGCACCACTCGACATAAGCCGCTCACACTAACTATCTCAAAGCTCTCACCTTCACCGTCGGTGTAACCAGCCGCTGCACAGCATGTCGCAGGGTGGTTCCATTGGCAACGGGCCATTGCGGATAGTTTTCCCGTAGCGTCAAGTCACTTACTACGTATGTTCTGTAAAGCAACAGGAATGATAATAGTACATTTTGCCACAAGTCTGCTATGGAACAACGCAATATCCTTTTGCTGTTACTCCAAGTTAATGGGTATTCTGACAGGAAGCAGACTTGTGTCATTTGCCTCTGCCCTTGCGGTATCGGGCAATTTTGCAAGTAATTAGCAGCTTATTAACTTGAGTAGTACATCGTGCTTATCCCATACTATATAGTTCAAATGTTAGAAAGATACCCCAATCCATGCAGCTATTTAGAAACCTTTGACCTGAAGAACTCAGCTGGATTGCGTTCTTTTCATTTCCACAGGGCCTTTCAGATGCTGTAACAATTCCCCAAGAAAACACAGTTCATGAACACATGTCTTGACAGACATGGTGGAGATGGCGACGACGTTCACCTACCCGGAAAAGTACGGCAGACCTTCAGAGTTGCGGTGTGTAAATGGCGTTCCGTCCACGGAACGGAAGTAGCCGAAAAGTTCCGAGTTGAAACCCTATGGCACACAATACCGGACAAACCAAAATTCCAATTGAGCGTGACTCCTTCTCCCCTGATTATCGACCAGTCCAGTCATAACAGGAACTCAGCACCGGTGTGAAGATCGCACAATGCATACCCCGCAGGTAAAAGCATAGGAGTGCATCATCCTGCTTACCATTACACGAATCAGATGGCGCAACACTCTGTTCGCAGATGCCTTGAAGTCGCCGTTGACGAACGAAAAAGTGTTCTGTGGGCAGAAGTTGATGTAGCCGGCGGTAGGCCTGCAGGAAAATCCCAACCCAAAACGAACACATATGGTAAAACCTTTCAAGATGACCAACTGCTCAGATTCGCAAAAACCTAGTCACTGTTTGCAGTACAGGGTTCATGGCAACCAGGAACCTGGAGTTTTGTTTTGGAAACCGTGGTGGGCTATCCGTTTCAGGTTTCATAGTGCGCTGAAACCTGTATAAAGTGACCCCTGTAACATGAGACCACCTGTCATTAGAGACTGATCACCTCACATAGCAGACCATGCCTCCACACACGGTCTGACCCATGTAGAGAGACCACCTGTCTGGAGAGACTGGCTTTCTCTGTACTATCGGGGCAGTCTGTGAGCACAGGTTTTCCTGCACTGTTTCTTACCGTATACACAACCAATACAGGTACTCACCGGTCAAGAGTCAGCTCTTGTTCGCAATGCCGACTTTCCATCAGCGCGGTGCCTATGACAACACAAACCATGTGACAAGAACCACAGCGGTCAGGTCAAAGTACATACGCTTAAACGTGTCACCAACAAAGGTAGTTGACACTGACGAAGAGCATTCATCTTGCAGCAGTCGTTGCAATATCCATACAGGCTGTGGAAAGAGGCATGATACGGCGGAAATAATTTCAGTTGAAGCCGGAGACCCTACCGTTAGCACACGCCGTGGTGTTGATGGCCGATACGTAGAGGAGCAGATGAGTAACAACGCCGGGACCATCAGCAGTCAGCTGCTGACAGCATGTTGACAGTGGAGCAGTGCCCGTACATGCCTTGCAAGAGTAACAACCCTGGACAAAGATCCATGCATCAAGGTACCAAAGATCCATTCAGCAAGGTGCAAGCACATTCACCACTCGCATTTATACAAGTGTGTTTTACAAATGTATCCAGGCATTTGTGTGATAGTCCCGGTAATGCCTGCAGTCAAAGCTGAGATTTTCCTGGGACTGTCCCTACTCCAAAAATGTCCTCGCTCGGAGGTTCAAATGTGCGGGTTTGTATCTCCATGGGGACCACTAAAGGTGTTTTTTTTCACGTGTCCATAATTCCAGGTGCGCTCAGCTCTTAGGTGTCCTTTAGAACAGGCTCCACGGTACATACATGTATATATAACTTTCTCCTCGTACAGCATGTGTCCAGACCCAGCAACATAGATGGATCTGGCGTGTGACCAAGGAAAGGAGCTCAATGCAAGGGTAAACATATGGAAGTAGCTCAAGAACGGCACACAAGATTCTGTTCAGGTTAGAAGGAGAGGGGGGGGGGCTAGAAACATACTCTACTATACGTATACAAGTAAACCCTGCATGTGCTCTTGGAACATCCAGGATGTGCTGGAGCTGGCTCATATGTTGAACCAGTCATTTCTTTAAAATGTCCTGGCAATCAAAGAAGAATTTGAACTTCTCCCAATCCTTTTTCGAATAATCAAGGAACTATTTTAATTTCAAAGCCCGATTGGGCTTGAGGATGCATGCCGGAGTAACCATTCAATTTTCCAATTACCAGCATTGTTCCAATCAATGGTACTGTGGCAGGATGCTCCCAGCCGATTTCCTTGCGGCTGCCAGGAATGTTCATTTACAAACGGCGTCCATCTAACTTTCAACAGTGTCCAAGATTGTTATCACACACTCCAGCAGTGCGTATGTCAAGCACATCTACAGGCTCTGAGGAGTTACTGCTTGTGGCTCATAAACCCAGAGATACTCTCGAAAGGCAACTAACTGTCTTGAACCATACTCAGATTTACTTCGATGACCATTCAGAAGAATACCATCACAAGCAGAACTCTGGAAAAACAACAACTGTGCCTACGCTCCGATGAACTATATAGCAAGAGCGACGGCCACATCTAACACCTTGCCTCTACACCAACACTTAGCACATACATGTAGATAAGAAGAGCGCGTGATGACGAATAAGGTGCTAAGTGCTAGCGTAGAAACAAGGCGCTAGACGTGGCGCGTACAGGCAACGATTTAGCAGAGCATGGAGAGGAAAACTGTTCAGCAACATTCAAAGAAGCAGAACGAGAACGAATAATACTTCAATTGAGGCTACCTCCGTAACACTGCTAAGCATGATGATGCCAATGGCAGTGTGAAGCTCAAGATTGTCACCATACCGGCACTGCGTATGTCAAGCACATCATCATGCTAGGTGGTACTACAACACTACTGAAGCAGTACTGCCAACGGGGGGGGGGGGTGAAGCTTACCCGCAGGTGTCCCTGTGGAACAACCACCGGGCCGCATTTGGTGTCCGCAGCACAATCTCCATCGCAGTTCACCTGTTTGTTGACGTAGCTGCTGGTGCCATTGCATGCTCTGCAGCAAAAGGAGAATACCAGCCATGATCACATCACACAATAGTCAGCTTGCACAGCCAAGCCATTGGTACCAGATGACAATACCTATTTGACAATACACAATCATTGGCAGCAGAGACACTCTGTGTTAAATATTGACAATGCACAATACGCTTATGGGAGGGAGGGGGGCAAAGTCCTCATACATAGCATTCGAGCAGTGCTAACTCGTTCTGGGTCACCCCAGTGTATACTTCTACTTCGTGACATGCAGCCAGTGCTATACAGTAACACTGCTTTGCATCACATCTCCAGGCACTCTCAGAACAGCACAATTATTCACACTCTAGACTATTATGGCTCGCACTTGACTTTGCTTTCGTTACGTTTGACGTATGCCTTGCATGTGTACGCACTCTTCAAGTGAACACGTGACTGCATATGTGATTCACTACACACGTGGACACAGATTAGGCTAGTGCGCTTAGCTATGGCAGCAATCCGCTCTCCTTGCTGTTTCTTCATAATCACCTGTTTTCTCTCTTTAGTCGTTGCCGTTAGTTTCTTTTGCATCTTTCCATGTCGGTGAACGAGGGCGCCATTTTCATGCAACCGCATGTTGATGCAGGTGCTCTATTCCCCCTGGTTTTTTGTCTTGTTGAAAAAGAACAAACTTTCCCAATGAATACATGGTTTGCAAATAAGTGTCTATCGTGTCAGTTGGTTCACGACTTGTACTTGAAACATGTCACGAGTCACGACAGTCGATAACTACATTTCTAGTTCTGCAGCGTTCCAGTACTTTATAGGACAAATGGAGTGAGCTAACTCAGTTTCAATATATCCTACTATTAAGGACAGACCTTGAGATGGTTACTGGAGAGGTCGCGTTCAGCCGTATCACCCGTGACAGGTAATTGGCTGCAGCCGGCACAAGGACATTCTGAGAGGTGGAGAACAAAACACAGGTACACCGCAGCTCTGTTATGTTTGGTGTTTGGCATGAGTTCCCATCATCTGGACTTAACAGCACTTACCAAACATACATCTATAACTCTTACGGACGATTAGAAAAGTTCGACCAAAGACACCTTAGATCCATTGTACATGCTATGTGCGGAAGGCAGACTCAACAAAATCTCGTTTAAAGGTTAATTAGACAAAGGCTGCACAAATCCATTGTCACATACCTTGAAAAGCCGTGCCTCGCTTCTTGACAATCTGAAAACACACAGACACACATCAGCAGACAAATCTCTTAGCAACCATATGGAATTGAAAGTTCACAGTCTTCTCCAAAACCTCTGGTCGTCTGATCCAACTGGCATGGATAGGATATGCCTGAGCAGTAAACTACAGGTATGGGACTGTGCTAGATTACGATCGATTGGATAGCCGGTGTGTAGCCTGAGAGGGTGGGAAAACACCACTATGGCCAGTACCTGGGGTGTCGGAAGGTGCTTTAGGGTGGAACGGCCAGCCACCTGGAGCCACCTGGGGTTGGGTGGCTCCCCTTAAAAGTTTCAAAATTTAGATCCCAGATCAGAGGTTTTTAAAACTTTTTATTGATTCACAGGGTACCCGGGATGAAGAGTGGTACAGTCAATGCCGTATCCGGTATATAGTGTGTCCGACAACCCATTCCAGGTCTGTGCCTGCACTTACCTATCAATACTGGAGTCGTAGTACGGGACAATGGTGTACTGGTGACGGGGCGGGCTGGGCGATGCAGTCGGTATTTGACGCCGTTTCCGAACGCCGCCGTGGCCATCACCAGGCAGCCGCTCATCGCCAGCACCGTGTAGTGCGTCATCACTCTCAAAGTGCAGCACTCCACCAGCCTGTAGGCATTGTACAGAACAGAGAAAGAGCAGATGAACACTGGGTCAGGGGCGGATCCAGGGGGTGGGGGTCCGGAGATTCCGCTGAACCCCCTAAATTTCGCAAATGTACTGGAAACCATATGCATGTACATGTACACACGGAAAGGAGAAATAGGTCCAGTTTGGATTTGTCGTGACTCAAAGTTTCATGTCACTGCAATCATCAGTCTTCACGACAAATCCAAACTGGACCTATTTCTCTTTTCCGTGTGAAACGCTCTGCACTTTGTGCATTGAGCACTTTGCCGGCAATTGCCAAAATTACCCCTTTGCATATACATGTATTCAGTTTTGCCTCACTGGAACCGCCCTGTAGAGATCTCTGGGTCTGCCCCTGCAGGTTGATCAAGACATCCATGTCAGAGATACATGCTGAAGCATGTTTGGTGCCTGAAATCCGCTGAGCACAAGGGAACGTTAGCACATTTCCACCGCTCCGTGTTTATAGAACCTGACAAAATCGTGAGGTGAAAGGTTAGAAAACTGGTCATGGGTTCTACCCTATGTAACAATATACATTAGTGAATTTGAGTTAAGTAGTGAAATGGAGCCTGCACAGGAATCTAGCATGCATGTATGCCAGCACTAAAGGTCACCCTCATATCGTGAAGGCATTTCAAGTTCTAGCAAAGCAACGAACATTCCCAGTAGGCATTGCCGTGCAGCCATAACTCTACTTGTTATGGCTGGCGTGGTGGCCCTCCGGCCCATAGTTACTAGCCTGAAGAGACAGGTGTTGCTCAAGAATTGTGCACTGGCCCAGCAGTTGTAAGATGCCCGTCAGGTGGTGGCGGCCCGAGGGCACTTGCAACTAACCTCGGCTTCTGACAACACTGAAATCAGTGCAGCAATCACCAAGCCAAAAGCACCACGGTGTCAGTATGCATTCTGGTGTGCCGCATACCCAGCAGGTGGGTGCTGCTTGGAATCGTCAACATCGGCCCAGTGTGACCAATGCTTTCATGTCACCTATGCATAAACCTTCAACAATAATAGAAATGTCCCACTTGCTTTGGGATGATTCGCGTTCCCTGGGGAACAGCTATAAAAATTTGAATGCTCCGGAACAGTTTCAAAAGTTTGAACTGCCCTCATCGGCTGGTAACCGCTAGTAGAATACTGCTCAGCAGGTGTCCATGTTTTGTTTCTCAAAGAGTGTAGGAAAGACTGGAGAAGCTCAACCGTGTGAGTTCTAAACAAGATCACACTCTCCCGGTGTGACAGTGACAGCAGCGTGATGATTAACAGACAAACGTCTTTGGGGCTTGTCCGATGGTTTGGTGTCGTGAGCAGCGTGCCATGCAGGCCTGACATGGCAGGTGGCCGTCGCCACGATAGTGATCCGTCATGATGCCTGCCACGTACAGCCACTGACGTGGTACGGTAACGCTCCGGAACGTGACGTCACATCGTCAGCCAGCACACAATCACGCATGCAGACCACTGACCAGGCATTTCAGTCACGTTGACAAGAAACCCAATGTCCCACAGCAATGTCCCACACCGGGGCATTGTATTAGACAAGCAAGTTACTTCGCAATGTGCGCGTTCTAGGTACAGTCTTTTAAAACTGTACCTGGAACGTGCAAAATATTTTGATGGGTATACACACCCGAACCGCCCTGTTTCAGTGTTTGTGTACTAATGGGTGTTACAGTTCGTTACTGCTGCCCTTCTCGTCCTTGACATAACTAGCAGTCTTGGCCGGAGAGATCCAGTGGGGGAGGTGAGGTCTAAACAACACGTGGATACAGCGGTGCTGGTGTAGTTTACTACCACCTAGCGGCGTATCCCATCGCAAAGTGTAAAGCACACGCCGACGACATTCTTCCACGAGGCCAGGCGCGCACAGATCGCTCGTAAACGAACTATCTTGCTCTCAGCTGGGTACCCAGATGCAGCCATCCCACTCAACACAGCAATGCATTGATAATTGTTTGGTGAATCAATCCACATTCTTCGAGAATGCCGAATGGACACCCATCTATCTAGGACGTAACTTCCTGCATTTTTTCACGCCAATTTTTTCAATATTTTCTCAGTGACCAGATCCATTACAGAAATACGTAATGGACTCGTATAGTACGCACCGTTTCCACGTTTTCTGATCTTGCCATTGCCATTGCATTTGGCTTGTTCAGGGTCTACGCTGTTGCGCTCGATTCGGACTGATCAAGGGATAAGGGAAATGACCGGTGCACTCTTATCCATGGCTTCGCTCTAACTTGTCTAAGCCGACTAAGGTCCGGACACAAATCGCACCCAGGGTCTCTCTCGCTACCATCGTCGGACCAGACCACTGCTACAGCACAGGCACCTAACTCTAAATCAGGAAGTGGGTGCATGCCAGGTTTCCAAAATGTGAATAATGAACCACTAACACCCACCAGGTTACCACAAAGAGGCTTACCTGAGGTTGGTCACTCGCCTCGACGCCAGCGGCTAAGCGCGCCCCGCAGCAGCAACATAGCAGAAAGAGCACGATGCCCGAGAGGTGTATTTTCACATGCGTGCCAACTAGCGATCCTCTCGGGCCTGCTACTGCTGCTGTCAAACTTTCTTCCATTGGCATTCTGCAACAAGTTCGCTTCAAAGACGTTCTGGCACAAGCGCACATGAAAACGACCTATACGTCGTCCACGGCATCCTACAATGGTCTTCCCGGCGGTATCACCGAGCTAAGCTTCTACACGGGGGAGATCAAACTCTCTTGGCCAGGTCCATCTGAAGCGTAAACCGTCGGGAAAGGATCCTCGAAGAGAGCGACGGCAACTCGACCAAGCGTGTCATTGAAAGATGCATGAACGGTACATACACGTACTCAGGCCGCTGCAACCAGCGTAAATCTGCGAACGTTGAACGGGCTTTCCTTGTACGTACATGTACTTACATGTGCATGTCGACGCTCGGCAGACACGTCCCGACTTCAAGTTAGTTCTACTGCCAAGTAACCATACTTGCTACTTTTGACTTTTGTTTATACCACACAACATCGGAGTGGCGAAGTGCTCTGTCAGCATGCTCGCTTTCTGTCACTCGCGGTCGAGCCACTCTGTGGTATGGCGAGAGAGGTGACTTTTTGAAAGGACCCACTGGCACTGGAGGGCGCCTCGCTTTGACACGCACCATTTGGAACGTTGCTCACTCGCATACGCGTACATTATCGACAGCGATGGGACTTGCGAGAGGGCAGCACCATGTTACGGCATGTAGGCGATGGGTCATTCGGCAGGCTGGGTCTCAAATCTCACACTTCCCTCGATGCCTGGCTTGAGTCTGCTGACCGCTGTCAGTGGTCGATCTCGAGAATTTGTCAACACGTCGGGCGTGATCTGGGCCTGTCGCCAAACAGATGCACTTACAAGGTGGGCCATGACCTAGCTGGGCCTGGGAGTAACATAATTTTTGATAATGGTTGAAAGAGTGTGGAAGTGAAAAAAGTTGTACTACTTGTAGGTAGAAATAGTGTCATTTGCTTTCTGCCATATCGGTATCCTTTTTTTTTCGAAATGACTGTCTGTGTTGGCACTGTTGCAAAGCACAAGCACAAAAGACTTTGAGTCAGTGCTTGCATGCAGCCAGCCAGTTACCAATACAGTGAGACCTGGCTAAGACGACCGCTCAAGGGACCTGCAAAATGTGATCTCTGTTGCCAGGTGGTCTCCTTATCCAGGGTGGTTTGGCTGCGAATAGCATCCCTTGACCCTGGTTACAGTGGTCTTTTGAGGCAGGTGGTCGCCTTATCAAAGTGGTCGCCTTGACAGGTTTTACTGTACTGCAATACTATGTCATGTAGTACCGGTAGTCACTACGCCTGTGCTATTGCCAAGTATTGGCAGTGCCCTAGACTAGTGGCAGACTGATCCGAATGAACGAGTATTTATGTCTATCAGTACAGCCCCAAAGAAAGATATTTTGCAACATACTAGTACTGGCTCTGCTGTAATCATCCATGGTAATACATCTACATGTATGAGTCGTAGAGCAGGTCCTAGAGAGAGACTTTGGGCAGTGGGTAGAAATCGCCGGTTTGTGTTCCAATCGCTGGCTAGTCTCCGCTTTCAGTTTCACTGAGCGCCAGTGCAACGCACATAGGCATTCATTACTTTTAAAAGACCTACACAACAGATGCGACTAGTGTTGTCCAGGGTTGTAGAAAAGCTACATAGCATTCTTTTGCAGAACGCTACTAGTATGTAGCCTTTTCTACAACCCTGGACAACACTCACTGCATGCACCTTCCGGGTGCCCACTGATAATTATGGTCCCTCAGATAACGTTACACATTCAAGTCGCTATACACAGTCGCTATAATGTAGCCCGCCACCATTGGTTTGAGGACAGCTCTACAAGTACAAAGAATGATAGCCTTTGGGGAATCCCTAAATAAAAAATACAATGCAATGGAAGATACAATAGAAGAGCTCGACAAACCCTACCATACCAAGTACTAGTAGCTTTCCAGTGTTCTTACCACGAGACATTTGGCAACCAGGGAGTAGTACAATACCGTGTACTACCCGGGTACTTGTATTGTGCTCCCTGTTGGCAACATGGAGCTCGAAGCCTCCCTGACTCAGCAAGGTACATAATACGATACAGCCATGTACGAGTAGGTACAGTAGCTCTTCTGCGTGTGAAAAGACGAAATGCCGTGGAGACCTCCATAAGCTCCTCCGACACAAGGTCGTCTTGTACAGTCCGGTCCGAACTTGTGAAAGAAACGGTTCTATGTCATCATGGTCATCATAGTCATATCTGAGAACTGCTGCCACATACCAGTAACATCCGCTAGATACTCAGCTAGCCTACAGCGCCATACAATCTGCAGCTGTCAACGCCAGGGAGTCGATGGTAAGGTTGACGCCTCGGGTGGTGCTGCAGGTTTGCCACGGGGCCTCGGGTGGGCTTGGTCTGATCTCGTTGGGGCAGTCTGATATATAGGGTAGACTCTACACGTATTTAATGGAGCCGTTCGATGCATATCATAACGACTGGCGGGAGGACCATCTCGATCTACATGTACACGATTGTGGGCTAAGCTAACTAGCAAGTACAGAAAGCATTCAATGGCGATCGTAGCAGGTCCATTGCCAGGCATTGGTGGCGCAGTCTGGTTCATGATGTACATTCCACTTGGCGGATACAGACTCAGTCATAACGTTGATGACAGATAAGAGAAGAATTCCGACACCGGGCAGGCAGCGCGAGCTGGGCGGTCGCTGTGTCAAATACATGCATAAGTCCTTTAGAGATAGCGGCATTGGTTGGGCCGTGGTTGCCTGTACAAGTTCCGACTCCCATCATATTTTGGAACGGGGAGAACTTGTGTTCAAGGTGCGGCAGCCTCCACTGCAAGCCAATCCTCCTGGGCTCAAAAAGCGGAAGACATTGGCGCGCTTTATGCCATTGCCACAATGAAAAAAGTGCGAACACTAATATTCCTTGAGGGAGTCTGTTCCCCTTCCTTTTCGTCATGACAGTCTGCTTTGGCACTGTTGCAAAGTACAAGCACATCGTTTGTAGCCAGGCAATGGCCAATACGCTACGTACAAAGTGGCAACTGATCCGATTGGTCCATTCATACCAATCGGAAGCCGGTTAATGGTACAAAGGTCCAAGCACAAACCAAACACGCGGCGATGTATGTTTGATTTATAAGCTGGCTGTACCTAAGGATTGTAGACCACAATTTTAGTCCATATTTGCTTCTTTCTTCTTTTCCTTTTCTTTTTGACTTCCTACTCTTTTCCTTGTTAGCCGTGGTTGGTTATAAAAACCCTGCAATCGCCACGCAAAGTGGTCATTGGCTACCCCAGCCATGTATTGCTTGGAATAAAATAAAATAAATAAAATTGACCGAAGGCTGTGTCTGACGGTGGCAGTCAGCAGTGTCAGCACTCAGCACACACACCAATATTATAAGGCAACAAGAAAAGTCAGATATTGGAATAGGCAGAAAGGGGTTTAGTTGGAGTTCAGTAAGTTGATAAGACTCACTCCCTCGGATCCAAACCTTTCGCATGCAAACAAGTCATGTTATCTGTTTTAATTTTTTTTTAAGCTGTAAGTGAGAAAGGCAGTGCAAGCATGTATGTATGTACATGTATGTACTTCAAGTACTAGTATATGATTGTATAACCCATAACCATTCTAGTCGTAGGAGCACCACGTGTGTCATGACTCATAAGGCAGCAGCATCAAATAGAACAGAAAAAGAAGAGAAAAAACTGACCACTGATAGACAAGCTGCCTATACCTATCATGATCAGCAGCACCAAGAGAGAGAGAGAGAGAGAGAGAGAGAGAGAGAGGAGAGAGAGAGAGAGAGAGAGAGAGAGAGAGAGAGAGAGAGAGAGAGAGAGAGAGAGAGAGAGAGAGAGAGAGAGAGAGAGAGAGAGGAGAGAGAGAGAGAGAGAGAGAGAGAGAGAGAGAGAGAGAGAGAGAGAGAGAGAGAGAGAGAGAGAGAGAGAGAGAGAGAGAGAGAGAGAGAGAGAGAGAGAGAGAGAGAGAGAGAGAGAGAGAGAGAGAGAGAGAGAAGAGAGAGAGAGAGAGAGAGAGAGAGAGAGAGACAGAGAGAGAGAGAAGAGAGAGAGAGAGAGAGAGAGAGAGAGAGAGAGAGAGAGAGAGAGATAGAGGAGAGAGAGAGAGAGAGAGAGAGAGAGAGAGAGAGAGAGAGAGAGAGAGAGAGAGAGAGAGAGAGAGAGAGAGAGAGAGAGAGAGAGAAGAGAGAGAGAGAGAGAGAGAGAGAGGAGAGAGACTACTACAAGTTAGGCTTCCTACACTTGTAGTGTGAATGTAAACAGCTTCTAAAGCAATCACACTTCACACTTGCAAACGTTTCCCATTCCTTTACATGCCGTATGTGCATGAGGTTATGCATTTATGATTTAACCGTGTGGTTTTGGCTACTCTTCTTAGCGCCGTTGCTATGATCACAACTCTTTAAAATTGGTGGGACTTCGAATTTCACGCTATGGGGCTGTTAAGTGTGACGTCACGGCTCCTTCGATACGCATAGCAACGGAGAGCACTGGGGACAAACAAAAGTCGCGTCCTCTGGATGGAACCAGATGTCAAGGGCAACAGCATCTAAATGACTGGAGAGACAGCAGTTTTTCTTTGCTTTTTCTTCAAGCGATTGTTGTCGCTCTTTACTCCTTGTTCTTTCCTCTACAAAACTCCTGTAGTCGTCGAGTGCCTTCATGATGGCTGTGAAATTGGCTGCCCACAGTAAAACTCCGTGTTTGAGAGTGCTTTGAAGATGTTTCGCGTCCTGATGGATCAAAGTATGAGCGCTCCTTGTGGATTCGATTACATATAGGTGAGTTGTTCAAGAAATCAGAGTCTTCTTTCTGTCTCTGCCCTCACGCTGGCACAATATCAGCTCTATATCCATGACAGCTCGCACCTCCCGTAAACTGCATGACTTAGATATATTTTCGCCCTCCGTGGTGATTGAAGACCCATGGAAGAATTTATTATGTTCAGAATGATGTCCTAATATAAAATAAAATAATTCTAGGGAATTGTCATAGGGTATTTTTTGGAAGGATGGAGACACAGAGGGAGAGAGAGCACTGTTTGAAGTGTTTGTCTCACTGTAATTACTCCACATTATTGAATGTTGTGTGATCTACTCTATATTTTCCACAATGGTTTTTCCTGATTTGCGGGATCTCTTCTTTTGCTGTTTGCGTGTTTACAGGAAGTGGCTGTCTGGTGTAACTGCACCAGATCCCTGGGGAAATTAAGTCAGATGCAGAGGCAGGGTCGTCCAGTGATGCAACACTGCCGTTCTGTGTGCAGCGTTACCGCTAATACCCCCGGCGAAAACACAAAAAAAGACAAACACGTGAAAAGACTACAGTATTGACCGTTCTGCTAATAAATGCATGACTGCTCCGACAGTCGTTAATCGAAACACAGAGCA